CTGAAGGTTTTTGTTTTTTGTTTTTTGTTTTTTTTTTAATTTATTCAGATCTGCATTTTGTTGCTCTTGCAGGAGGTGTGAAGTTGCACACCTGTCTGGGGATAATTAAAAGAAAAAAGTAATTACTGCTTCATTGCACAGGTCTTCTATCAGTCTGACAGCTGGCCAGCTGGCAGCTTTCCTCCTTACCACAGGTCTGTACCAGAATAGGCCTGTCCCTGCATGGGGACTCATCTAAGCAGAGCACAGCATTGCCTGGAGGCTCTGAGTGTGTCTGTAGGAGCAGAGTAGGCACCATTGGTGTTTCTTGCCTCTTTGATCTGAGTTTGGAATTCTGTGGGCAGTGTCTCACTGCAGGATTTGACTGGCAGTAGGTGCTAGCTGATACACATGTCCAGAGCCCAGACGTGAGCTTGATTGGCAATTACATTACAATGTGGCTGTAACTTCCAAAGTACTTTTTTAATCCAGTATGTGGAATACAGCCACCCCCATTTTTCTGAAGGCTCACCATTTTCTGCTGACATTATTGGATTCTTCATATTCACAAGAGAGCTGAGCAATGCCTGCAGGCCTGACATATGGGTAATCACTACAGCCAAGGGAGAGGTTGCGGTGTCCCAGGAGGAGCCAGGCAAGGGAGGAATTCTGTGTCATGATGACAACATTAAAATGGAATGGGTTGGAAAGTGGATCAAATTCTGTCTCTGATTCCTTTGTAACTCAGTTACTGCAGTCCCTCTTGTGCCCAAAGCACCTTCCTGTCTCTCATCTTCCTTGTGCCTTGGCATGAGTGTGTTAGCAGCTCCCAGAAAATACATGGATATTCTTGTCTCTGGTTTTGGATGAGTACTGGGTTTTTGTACTGATCTCCACAATAATTCAGAGTGCTGGAAATATCTGGAGATCAGATATTGAAACCACACAATTCTGATTATTATCTTGCTTTCACATCGCATCAGTTGCCATGTGGTTTAGCAGCTGATAATTCTTTAAATGGTTTGTGTTTCACATTAGCACTGTATATCAGTAGGAAACAGAGCTTCTAAGTTTTATAAAGGGTTTGTTTTAATGCTGGTGATTTGCGAGGTAGCTGATGATGGACCTGGTACTCTCTGATATAGCGATGCTTTCCTGGTAGGACGGGAGCTCACTGAGCCTGTGTCAGTGCACCAGAAAATAGTACATCCTTCCTGTGCTTTCAGACTGCCTCCTCCTGCAGTTTGCGCTCAGGCAGTGCTGGTAAGCTGGCAGTAAGAGAGTTTGGAGCAAACCTTAACTTACCTCTAAACTTGAAGTTTTTATGGTGATGAATTCCAAGGAGTTCGATCTCAAAAGAGGAGCCAGGTATTTTCTTTTCTTTTGAGAGGGATTAATTTTCAGTGTGGTGAGTGGTGTTTTGTTTGTTTACTTTGGTGTAGGTTTTTCAGAGCTTTGTATTTTGAGTTGTGAGTGGTTTCTGACATCTCTCTTACCTTTCAATATAAATTTTGCTGGGTATTTTTGTTGTTGTTTTTTTTTTTTAACTTTTTTTTTTCTTTGAACCTCAACTAGCTAATGTGGTCCCCAAAGAGCTTAACGCATGCTGTGCCAGCTGGCATGCCCTCTGGCTGTGAAGCCTTGTTAAAGAGATCAGAGCTGACAGATTCTTGAGCAGCAATCTGATACAGGCCTTTTTTAAATTTTTTTTTTATTTTTTTGATTTTTTTGAGCTCACCCATGTAACAAATGGGGGCTTGTTTTGTAGCTTCGCTAGAGGCTTGAATGGAGTCATTGTTATCAAAACACTGCTGTGATTCACAAGTGCCCAGAAAGGGGCTTCCTCTCCCTCTTGCCCCTCAGTTGGGCACTGCAGGTGTGGTAGCCCAGCTTAAAACTCCAGTTTTGTCCTTACTCTACAGAATAATCCAGCTGCCTTGTGATTTTCATATTTAAACCGATACAGGAAATTTGAAGCTACAGCTCTTTGCAAAACACTAAAAACGAATTGGGAGAGGTGAGTGAGAGAACCAGAGAAGGTGCTCTTCACGTTGACACTCTGGGGCTAGAATCATAAAAGTAATGTATTACATTGCCAGGCTTTGGCACAGATCAGTACACTCTGTGTTCTTACTGTTACACTGGTGCTTAGATTATGAGTTCCACCAGAAGGCACTTGCTTGGAAGTTTCTGCAGGTGATACACAGACTATTGAGTTTTTAATTCCCTCTTCAGATTATTTTTGCCTGTAAAAATGCCATTTTGTCTAACGCATGAAGATCGTGGACATATCAGGGAATCCCAAATAGTCTAATTATTCTATTTCATCTAAAGGGATCAAAAACTGAAAGGAATGTGAGCTGTTTGGGAAGACAGTGACTTGCAATTCTCAGTCTTCTCAGTCAAAATTGAGAATGTAGGACCCAGAGTGGAGTGTACACGGATTTATTGTGCAGGATTGGAATGAAGGCTGCTTTACTTCACAACTGATGTGCCTGGAGCTGTTTATTTGGCGTGTCTTGTATGGAATTCACCTCATAAAAAGATGCGGTATTTATTATGTGGTTCTCTCTAACCTGTGTCTGCTTTGCTGAATTCTGCCTCTCTCTGCCACTGCCTCTGCAGTGAAAGCATGTCCCAGGAGCTCTAGTGCCAGGTAAGGATAGTAACATCAGTGCCTTGTATACAGAGGCAGTGGGGTGGGCAGGGCTTGGGGTGGCATGTGTTTTTGATACTGAGTTGCCACACTGGCACTCCTTATTGACTCAAACTGGAATTACGAGCTATATTTATATTCTGCAATTCTATGCAGAGGATCATGTGTTTTCATTTCAGTAACATACACCAAAAAAAAAAAAAAAGAAAAAAAAGAAAAAAAAGAAAGAAAAAATCCATTTGAATTCCATTTGTGTATTTTTTGTTATTCCTTCCCTGGTAATTTCTCCTCCTCTTGTCCTTTTTCCAGTAAGACCAGTATATAGAGGCAGAACAGAAAGATGATCAATTGTCTGCCTTGAAGCAAGCGCAGCTTATTGTCAGTAGCTGAGCTGGGCTTCCAAAGCCAGCTCTGTCATGAGAGAGGGCCATTTGGGCATGCAGGCTCCATCCAGTTGGAGTCTGGAAAAAAAAGAGTGTGTTTTTTTTTTTTTTTTAATCTTGATTCATCTGCTGCCTTGCAGTGTGACCTTCAACAAAATTTGCTGTATCAGGTTCTCCAACAGAATGTGGAGTGCAATATACTTTATATTTACAGACTGGTTCACAAGGGCTGGGCTTTGTTGTGCACTGAACAAGCCAAACTACTCTCCTGAGCTTACAGCATAGAAGTTGTTTTGGATGATAGTTAATGATCATTATAAGGCTTGTATGAAGAGCACTCTATTTTCCATTCACTGTTACAAAATTATCAACATTATATCTTTTTGTATAAAATCTGCTTTTTTTTTTTTAAATCTCTACTTCAAACAATACCAGCAGTGTGGAAAAGAAGCCTGGTGGGAATCTTTGGAGTGGACTTCTGGCCTCATCTATGTGCTGATCTTTTCCCTGACTCAGAAGGTTTTTTTTTGTTCAGTAATACACATTACAAAATAAGCATCTGTCTCACAAGTGGTTTCTTTTCTGGTGGAGATGGTTGTTAAAACCCTCACTTATGATATAAAAACCCTTATGTCTGTCTTAAGCTCATGCAAAATGTTCTAATGTTATTTATCAGATGATAACAACAGGCTTAAGAATGGGAGGAATGTAGGGATGATGAACCGTTTTGTTAGTACTTTTGTTGTTGTTGCTCTTGTGCCTCCTGGTGTTAGAGCTGTGCCAGCCACGTAGGTGGTTAGAAGGGCTGAATGTGGTGGAGCATGCCTGCAGGAGTGTGGGTGCACAAGTAAGAAAGATTTTGAGAGTTTTTAACTGCTGTGGAAGGCTCATTGCGAGCACGACTGGGTGAGCAGCATGTGGTTTTCAGGGTGTTCCTGCTGTGCTCAGATGGGCAGCAGATGCTCCCCAAAAATATGCCGGTATCCACACTCGTGTTGTTGCTGTAGGTGGTCCCATTTCTGGTAAGGGAGAGAAACCTACACAGTGGTTTAATATAATTTTTAAACCAAGAGACTGTGTAGTTACTTTCCCTGGTGTTTGTGTTTTAAATGGGTTGGTGTGGTTGGCTTTGCTGAGCATTTTATCCTGGAAAAATAACAACATACGGTGAAATAGTCTGTTGTCATAAACAGAACGCAGGAGGTGAGGGAGCTTCACAACATGAAGCCTTCACATGAGTGGCATGTGAGAGAAGGTGTGGAAGGTTTCAAGAGGTGTTTCTTCTCCAACTGTGTATGAACCAGTTGGCAGTGATGAGCCACACAGCGCAGGGGTAGCTCTTGCCCCCTGGCACCAGTGATACTCAAGGCATGCTGCTGTCACAGAGCAGTGTTTCAGGAGCCTTGGAAGAACATGAGTTCCCAGAAGTGAGACTGCCTTGTAGACAGGGCTGAGAACCAAGGAAAGCTGCAGAACTGGAGAGGTGGCAGGAATTTGAAACAGCATGCTGAGTTCTGGACTTCCATATCCCAAGGTCCCAGGAAGTCACTGGCAAGGAGTCAACATATTGTTGGTAGTATAGAACAGGACAGGAAAGGCACTGTGAGGCTCTGTCCTTCTCCTGTCTATATAGAAACCAACACTAGAATAAAAGCATTTTTATATCATGTTCAGTGGCATAAAGAGGAGTGAGGGAAGGCTAGATTACCCAGCTCTGTTTGCTGTGAGGTGTGAGAACCTCCCCCAGGGTGTTGCATCCTTGCATACTGCCAGGATCTCTTTTCCAAAGGATGCGATGGTGGTTCTGCAGCTCTGCCAAGCTGCTGTACAAAGCATGTATGTCATTTCACAGGGAGCAGGTCTGCCTGGTAACAGGCTAGCGATATTGCCCACCTAGCACCTGCTGGTCTTGCCATTTCATTTCAAAGCCATTAAATACCATGAATTCATACTAAGAATTGACTTTTTCTTTTAAATTGCAGGATGCAAAGAGACGGTGCCATCATGTGAATGCAAAATTGCTAAATGAGAAACAGGACACCTGGGAAGGCTGAGCTGAAAGTGCTTGTGCACAGGATGACAGACTGATTTGCTGTTGAAGACAACACTCAGGAAACCCCCCTCCTCCAAAAGACTTTCTGAGTGAGAGAAGAGGAACAGGAGGAAGCACACAAAAGAGCAATGGGAATTGAGGGCCATGGTTACTTGAGATAAATGGCACATCCCTGGGAGTCTAGCCTGGTAGCTGTTTGCTTTTGCTTTGTCTCTCTCTGCAGCTGCTGTTACTTTTTTGAAAGCTGCTGCTGGGTACTGCCGTGGTGGCACTGGAGATTTGAGGAGCGACGTGGCTGCAGAGTGTGAGGGGGGTGGGCAGCCCGCCTCACCATGATTCAATTGTGGAAAGTAGTGCGGCATGTGCGACAGCTGGAGCTCCACAGGTTGATCCTGCTGCTCATTGCCTTCAGCCTGATCTCCATGTGCATCCTGGCTTACTACGTCACGAACAGTCCCAAAATCAAGGAGCCACCACCCCTGCCCTTCAGTGACTGCAGCAACCAGCACCGCATCTCAATCCCACCGCAAGCCAGCTGGAGGCTTACAAAATCTGTGGACACCTCACGCACGGATCCTGTGGTGCTAGTCTTTGTAGAAAGCATCTACTCCCAGCTGGGGCAGGAAATAGTGGCTATCCTGGAATCTAGCCGGTTTAAATACAGGACAGAGATCGCCCCTGGTAAAGGGGATATGCCAACATTGACAGACAAAGATAGGGGACGCTATGCTCTTATTATCTATGAGAATATCCTCAAATATGTGAATCTAGACGCTTGGAACCGAGAGCTGCTGGACAAATACTGTGTAGAGTACGGAGTGGGGATTATAGGCTTTTTCAAAGCCAACGAGAACAGCCTACTCAGTGCACAGCTCAAGGGTTTCCCCCTGTTCCTACATTCCAACTTGGGGCTGCGGGACTATCACATCAACCCCAGTGCTCCTCTGCTCTATGTTACACGGGCTAATGAGGTGGAGCAGGGTCCCCTGCCTGGTGATGACTGGACTGTATTCCAGTCAAACCACAGCACCTACGAACCTGTGCTGTTGGCCAGCACGAAGTCCTCAGAGTCCATTCCTCACCTGGCCACCCACAAAGCATTGCATGCCACGGTGGTGCAGGATCTGGGTCTGCATGACGGGATCCAGCGGGTTCTCTTTGGCAATAACCTCAACTTCTGGCTGCACAAACTGATTTTCGTGGATGCCATTGCCTACCTGACTGGCAAACGCCTGTGTCTCACGCTTGATCGCTATATCCTGGTCGACATAGATGATATATTTGTGGGAAAAGAGGGCACTCGCATGAAAGTGTCTGACGTAGAGGTAAAATCCCCAGAAAATCATAGGCCCCAGATGAAATTCCTTTGTGCGCGGTAGGCCAGGAATGTCAAGATTGCGTTTAATTTGAGTGAAGGAGTTGATTGCTACAATTTTTCTCATCTTAAACACAGAGAAATAACCTGCAGAGATGCTGAGGCACAGTATGCAGTACTCACAACAAGTTTTCTTCAGGTTTAAATCGAGCATGTGCTTTGTAGGATCTGGCATCTCTGAATCTAAAAGGAGGATGTCTGTGATGGTCTGTCTTATCTCCTTTCTTACAAGGGAATAAGCCTATGTTGAAACCTCTAAAAAAGCTGTAAGGGAAAGGCTGAATACCAGCTATGATGGCAGTAAGCCTATGACAGCAGCTGCCTCAAAGTTGTTTTGGAAACATGCTGAGAAGAAGGGCAATATGTTCTTTCAGCCAAAGTTAGAGAATATCTGGGGCATAGATATAAAACAAAGTAATTTTCCGCGTGTGCATCCCCTCACGTGAACTAAACCTAATTCTTAACACGTTTCCAGGAGCATCCTCCCTCCTCATTGGGAGTCTTAGCGCTTCTTAGGTTTTGTATGCATCCATGCAGGGTGCATCTTTCATCTCATCTCAGTTTTTTCAGGTGTGAGATTTTAAATAATGGTTCTGATGCCAAGTTTAGGTTGGGATCTGTTTAGATCTTGCTGTTTTTAGAGCTCGTTTTATCTTTTTAATTCATTCAAAGCTGTATACTGGAAGCAGCTCTAATTTCAAACCATTGTTTATTTTACTTGCTCAATTCCCTAATAATCCTTTACAGCCACCCTTGATCATGACTAACTGGGACTTATAAAAAAAAAAAAATGGAACAATTGTATGTAAGTTTACTTGAAAGAAAATGCTAACATTTTCTTCATTTCACTGCAGTATCCCTTTGTTTTGAGATACTGAAATGCTCTGAAAGTGTATTTTCTGAGTGATCATAGTCTTCTCTTGCACCTTCTAGTTCAAACGCATGGAGATTCCCAGTTCTGTGTTGTCTGAGCAGGTTACAGACCAGTGTGAGAAAACAGAGGATAGTTGACCAAAGCTTTTGGAGGCAAAGGCTGTTCCAGTGATGATAAAAACAAACCCAGACAAGATAATTCCAAAAGATGCTTTGTTTGGGTTTTAACGGTGAAATGGAGGAATAATCTGCGATCAGTAAGCAGAGAATCTCAGGCAAAGCAGATAAAGCCCAGATTTATCTATTTAAAAGAAGTTCTCTGATTGCAGAGCCATGAGAGGTTAATGAATTTTTATTTTTTAAAAGCGAGAAATAACAACATGGATTTGTTGATAGCCTCTAGCTGTGGGGAGAGGGGAATATAATAGTGATGGAACAGCTGGCATTTTCTTTGGCCTTTTATATAAAAGCTGTGTTTCAAGGCTGCTATCTCAACACACAGTTCCTTATCTTGAAGCTTAGATTACAGTGGTCGGGGGAGTGGTTTGAAGATTGGATGTTGTGTGAAGGTATAAAATTGACTCTGCTATCCCAGTGTGCTTGTTTGCCATATACAGATCCATGTTCAAACAGCTTCCCAGACAAAATGACTATTGAAAGGAAATGCTGGACAGAATTTGATTGAATGCATGGGTGTCTATGTTAGATGTCTATGAGAGATGTTTTTATTTGTGATGTTTAGAGGAGGACTGGTTAGCTTTTTATCTTTAAAGAGAAAAAGAAAAAAAAAAAAAAGCAATCTTGTTTGTTTTTACTTTAAAGATGCTCACCCCTTGAGTTCCTGTTTCTGCTGAAGGGCTGGAGCAAGAACTTGCAGTCCTCTACTGAAGTGAACCACTTGGGAGCTGCTCAAGGAAAATGTTTTTCCCTTGTAAAGTTCACCAGGGATTGAACTGCACATAATTAACAAAACAAAATCTCAGAGAATCCTTTCTCTTATCAACAAGTCCATATTCAGTCTGTTGTAAAATCATAATCCTCTGAATTTACCAAACCTCCATGGAACTGGCCAACAAAGACTAATGCAGAAAGGATCTGGCTTTTGTGATCCTTCCTGGTCTGCTTTAGGTATGAGGAAAGAAGATTAAGCAGATGAATTTTTGCCTGTCTGGTGGTAATCTCTACAAGGGCATAAATAGCAAGCAATCATTGCTCCTGATTCTGAGAGCAAGTTAAGTGAAAACTGAGGACTTTGGGTTATTGAATGGTGAGGGTGGAAGAGAGTCTAGTAAGGACGGCTATCAATCAGCTCTCACCTTTCTAAATTGCACATGATAATCTTAGCTGAAATCAAAATACCCAGCAATTCTAACTGCCTGATTCTGGCATTGCTGGGAGCTGGAAACACAAGCACTGAGGGCTTTCTCTTCTGACTGCACTTTTCTGAGCTATGCCAGTGCTACCACCAGGCAATGAGGAAACTGCAGAAGACCTTTTGAGAACGTGCTGCTCTGTGATGGGCAGTCCCACTGAAGGAGGTGTTTCTGCACCAGTGCTTTGGATGCCTTGGATGCTCCCACTATACTTTGCAAAAGTATTTATTATGTTCTTTATCATTTGTCCAAGGTTTTCCAAACTTTATGGGATCCTCTCATCCTAGCATCCACCTTTCAACCTTGTTTCCCACACTTCTTTTGTTGCTTTTTTAGAGATACCTCAGATAGAAGAGATAATATTCAGGGTTTGTGTGAAGCACTGCAAAAGCTTTTAGAAGATTAAAAAATATGTATATTCATAGCTAAAAAAGCAGAGTGATGTGAAAGTTGAATTCTTTATTAATGTGATGCCTAGATGATAGACTCTTGATGGATTGTGACAAGCATGAAGTCATTCTGAGCTCTCATGGGGTTCTGTTGGACACACCATCTTTTCCTTCTGGGATGAGCCTTGCTGAGCTTCTAGTAGAAAGCAGAGATAGGGAAGGGGCCTTTTGGGCTGGCTCGTAGACAGGTATTCATCTTGGAAGGATTTTTGGAAAGGAAGACAAAATAGAAATTTGTGAAGAGTGATTTTCTAAGGTAAGAAACTTTCCTTTATAGAGATGGGGAACAGCTGAAATACAAGCTCTGCATCTAGTGCAATTCCTTAAATATGGACTTGAGGATCTGCTTGTATCTGGCTTGTTAAGTAAAAGACAAACAGAGTGCAGGGGTATCAAGTGAGAAACGCCATCTTCCCAGCCCATTCCCACAGCTGTATTGTTTTGCCTTGGATTGGAACCCATATGCTAGGGAACAGTGGATGGTAGGTGGTTTGGTTTTGGTGGTTTTTGTTTGTTTGTTTGTTTTAATGAATTTCCAAATATTTTGCTTGGCACCTTACTCTCTTTGATCCTGTGCAATGAAAGGCATTTATTCAGATGTACACTGTGCCATGCAGCTGTGAGAGAGACCGAGCATCAGTGCAGGGATGGCACGTGATGAGCAATAAACCCTTCAGGAAGGCAGGGCTCTGCTAGGCTCCACGGGGCTCCACAGTCTCAGAATTGCTAGTGCCTCCATGGACTCTCCCTGGGTCCCTCCCCAGCCACAAAGGGTTGCTGCCTGCCAGAGCACAGCTTTTGGGGATTTATCATCAGACAGATGTGTCGTCATGGTAACCCCAGCCAGGCTTTAAATCTCCCTCAGCGCAGAGAAATGCTAAGCCTCTTAGCTGCTGTCTTTCCTCCCTCTACCTTCCCACTCAATCTTGAGGAAGTGGATGTGCCTTTCAGGGCACCAGAGAGAAGTGGAAAGGCGTGGGACAGCTCCAGGGGCAATATGAGGAAGTGGTACTTTCCTGCCTAAGTGTTCCAAGTGCTGATTCTGTTCTGGGAGTAGTGGTGTCACTACTAAGCAGCTGGGCAAACAGGCTCTTCTCTGGAGAGAGAAGCACATCTCTTAGTCAGCGCTCCCTGTGCCTTGTGTGAAGGGAACTTGATTTCCCACTGCCTATTCAGGAACTTGCGCAGCAAAAAAGGTTTCAGCCGTCAGTGCTGCTGGCATGTCACCTTGTTAAGCCCTACTTGCATGTGTAGTGAGTTCTGGAGATGTCATATGCCATACATCTCTCAAAATACCACCCTTGAGTGGGACCTGGGATAAAGGTGTAGTAGTCATGTGGTCACGGAGGAGCTGGGATCTCTGTAGAAATTTCTTCTTGCTGTTGTATGTGTGTGTGGAGATGGGGAACGAGCAGTTAAGTGTTTCTCTAGGGAAAAGTCTGAAAGCTTTGTTATTTGGGGCCATTGGAAAGCATGGGGTGTGTATTCAGCACTGTAGAAATAAACTGTCTGGTCTTTCCACTTTGCCATGTGTGAGATGGATGGGTCGTGGGCTGCTTGTCTTGGGTAAAAAAGTCTCAGTTTAGTCCACTAATCACCTCTCTCCAAGATGCATATGAAAGAATTGGGTGGTTGTGTTACTTAAGTTGTGTTTAAGTTAATGTGATGGTCAGCGTTTGGGTCAACACTATTTTGAAATATTAGTAACAGCAGTGGCTCATTCAGGATACCTTCAGTGGTATATGACAAAAGTAGTTCCTCAGCAGAGTTGGCATTTGTCAAAGCACCTTCCAGTACCTGAGGGGCAGTGTGCCTAAACAGTGCCTATAGATCAGGAGGCACGTGAAGGCAACATTGTTGTGCTCATTTGTGCCCCTTGAAGCAAGAGAAAGACAGCTGATGAAGGAAGATCTGCCCATCTTCTCAGTTCCAAGAAGTCTGTGTGCTTTCTCCTGTGTTATGTACACGTACATCTGCATTTATCCCAAGGCTGGTGTTAAAGGTCATCACGTTGGTGCATCCACTGCTGAACTGCTTTCTTAGAAAAGCTGATAAAATATAAATAACTGTGGGAACAGGACCATCTCTGTAACCTGCCAACCACCCTCCTGCCAAGTCACTCTTTGATCAGGAACTGCTCCCACAGGGGGCTCCGTCAGTGACACTGTTCCCAACATAGAGGTAATAGCAGAGGATGCATTTCAGGGCTTTGATTTTCACTGTTTTCTACCAGAAGAAATTTGACTAGAATTAGTGTACATCTTGCTCATGGCATACTGAGCCAGCTTTTTTTTCTGTCAAGTCTGTCTGATGTCTGCTGCTGGACCTTGGGGTTGTGGCACAAGGCTCCTTCCCTTTGGCTATAGCAATTATTTTGGACATTCAAAGCTGAAGGCAAGGAAGAGAGAACTTGTAGGAGAAATCATGACTGTGAATGTCAGCTCACCCAGGATTTTTTTTCCAGAATCCAGGAAAATTTCAAGCCAGAGGTACCTCCCTGTCATTGCAGGACTCCTTATGTGGGTATTCACATGTGAATCCACCTTTCATCTTTGAATCCTCGCCTTGGAACGCTTAGTTACTCTGTGTGATACAGTTATTTTCCTCAGTGCCCCAGGTCCAGTTCTATCTTGCTTTTCTTTAATCCACAGACTTGGAGAAAGGTAAAAGGTCCCCAGCTGACAGGGAGGGGAAGGGAGTGTTGAGGTTGATCCTGGGAAGACGGAGGGAGCTGTTGCATGGAGGTGAGATTTGTTCTGTTGCCTCAGCACAGGTGCTTTGGGTACTTTACAGTGAGGTGAAGAGGATGTATGAGAGATGGATGTGACTGTTTTTAAAGCAACATCATTCAGTAAGGCAAGATGGTACTTCACATAAAGGCTCTATGTGGGAACCCTTGGCTTTGTCACTCCACAGGTAACAGTGCCTTAGCTCCATCTCCTGTGACACCTCTTCAGACTGAGCTGGCACCAGCAGAGCGGAGGAATCTTACAGAACAGATTGAGTGTGAACATTTCTTTTTCCTTTCATTCAAACAGGCTTTACTGAGCACCCAGAATAAGCTGAGAACTTTAGTCCCAAATTTCACCTTCAACCTGGGCTTCTCAGGGAAATTCTACCACACAGGTAAGCCTCCGGCACCCCTTTGTCCCAGCACCTGCATATGGCCCACGTGTTTGCAGGAGCTTCATGGTACAGGGCACATTCTCATGTAGCTCTGTTGTGGTTCTTGGCAGAAGTGATGCATCTCTTTTACCACTTGCAACTTTTGTCAGCTCCCTACCTTACTCTTTGTGCATGTGCATATGCAATGTGCATGTGCAATGTGTGTAACACATTACTCAGAGCTTGATCCTCTGTTGGAACAACTGCTTAGAAACATTGAGCCCTTCTTCTGCTTTGTGTTTTTGCATCTCCTTGTCTGCTCTCTGTAGGTACAGATGAGGAAGATGAAGGTGACGACATGCTACTCAAGCATAGGAAGGAGTTCTGGTGGTTCCCTCATATGTGGAGTCACATGCAGCCTCATCTTTTCCACAATGTCACTGTGCTGGCTGAGCAGATGAAGCTCAACAAACAGTTTGCTGTGGTAAGGGGCATCACATTCCGTTACAGTACTAATCCTAAAGCATTCTTCCCCTGGAATAGCTGTTCAGACCCTGCTGAAGACAAATGTTAGCCAAGTAACACAGCGGCATTTAAAAAAGCCAGCCCTAAAAGTTTAAATTGGTGCATGCCTCCTGCTGTCTTCAGGCAAGAAACAGAATTCTCATGCCTGTCTGTGCAGTGTTTCCTGGCACCTGCATGGCCCCAGGCAGCTCCGCCACATTCCAGGGTGCAAATCTCAGGGCTGTAGTTTGCTGAGGTGTGAACTAGTTGTAGCATTACCTTCCAAATCCAATTATTGTATAAACTGGCAGTGAGAAGGCATTTCCTTTCAATCCTTATTCAGACTGGTTTTGTAGGAAGTTATCTACTCTGTAGTATAAAATGCTCTGTGTCCTGGCTCTGGCCTCCTCAGATAATGCTGGAGGGAGTCTTTTATCTAGGAAGTCCAGGGGAAAATCCCTGGTTTTGGCAGAAGAGGAGGGAAACCTTGAACGTCTTGCATTATAGACAATGTCTGCTTCATGCTTACAGCAGAGTTGAATATAGCATGTGTTTGAAAAGCTGTGTCCTTTTCAACCCCAGTTTGGTTCTGTTGATGGTAATCTCCTTGGGAATAGCAAGCTGCTGTCTCATGTTTCCATGACACATGCAGAGTTGGAATGATCCCAAATTCAGAGTACAGTTGCAGCATTATAGAAACAATTTCATTTCCTTCTTTTCATGCTTAAGTAACATTGAGGTCTCTTGCTAAGAGAGAACAGAACACAGTTATACATATTTAACATAAAACAAGCTAGCAGAGGGAAGGGAAGGCTGTTGCTTCATTTAGGGACTCTGGTTTTATTGTGCACCACCAGGGCAGAACTGTCATCATTCATATTATTACCAGAACCACATAGTGAAATTAAGAACCATGAAATTCAGTTATCTCTTGTAATTTTAGTATAGCTCTGGGCTCCATATCTTCAGCCTCAACAGCCACTAGTTTCATGCCTGCTTTTCTTTGAATTGCCATCTTCAAGGCACTCCCCAGCTGTTGTCTTCTTGCCTTCTATGTCAGTTAAAGATATTTTGTTTTCCTGCTCCAGTGGCTCAGACCTAGGCATAGTGTGTGTGAGATGCGTGACTTAACAGCACTGATTAGTTCATTTGTAGTAACCAAGGAGCCTGACCTGAGGCTTTGAATTAATCTGAAGTGTTACACCTGCAAGCTACAAGACTGTTCTTGCAGCAGCTGTTCCAAGTGCTGAACATTCTTGTTGGTCCAGAATCGCCCTTCCTATTTCTACAGATACATAATGCAAGAAGTATCTCAAGTTCCCAGTCAAGAGAGATTTCTTTTTACTCTGTCCTCTTGGCTCCAGCTTGGAAACTGTTGCTTAATGATCCTTAGTAAGAATAATAATTAAGTATTGGATGATCAAGATGTGTATTCTGCTTCCAGGAGCATGGGATCCCCACAGACTTAGGCTATGCTGTAGCCCCCCATCATTCTGGGGTTTATCCTGTCCACACACAACTCTATGAGGCATGGAAATCCGTTTGGAGCATCCAAGTAACAAGCACAGAGGAATACCCACATCTGCGACCTGCCCGGTACCGACGTGGATTCATCCATAATGGAATCATGGTGAGCACAGCTGGGTGAGCAGAGCCCACAGGCTCCTGAGCAGTGCACATTTTCTTCCCAGGGGATGCTCTCCTAATGACCTGCAGCAAAAACATAAATCTCAGTATCATCCATATTTCCAAAATTATTAAGTGAAGTAAAGAAATGGAACTTGGCTACGGTTTTTTTTTATTTCTTAGTAGAACTCAGAGGTCAGTTCTGAACAGAGAGCAAAATTAAGCATGACAAGATTAAATTTATGTCCCACTCACTTACTTGTTTGCTAAGTGCTGTGCTAAGTAAATGTCTGGGAGGAATATCAAAGAGTCCTCTGAAACTATGTTGCTTATATCCCTTACTCTTCATATTGATCTGTATAGTACTGCTTAGACACATCCATGTATAGATTTCTGTTGCATCTGCCTCTTACCTAACTTTTCTTCTATATTGTCAGGTTCTGCCTCGACAGACCTGTGGCCTTTTTACTCACACTATCTTCTACAATGAATATCCTGGTGGCTCAAAGGAATTGGACAAGAGCATTCGTGGTGGTGAACTCTTCCTGACAGTGCTCCTGAACCCAGTAAGCTCATCTTCAAGGGGGATCAATGTCTGAGTGTCTCAGCTTATTCACATGATGTGGAAAAGGATTAGATCTTGAGGCTGATTCACTGCAATAGTAAAAATAATAATTGCAGTGTGGATATCTTCAGTGTGAGGCTAAAGAGATGTGAAAGAGAAGGCCAAGGAAGCTGTAGCTATTTAAAGTTTCTTTGCCTTAATCACTGCTAAGGATGAAGTATTGAGTGTTGGCAAGTGCAATAGTCCTCATCTAGAAATGAGCCAGGGTGATGTGCTGAGTGTGGCCCAGAATGAAGTGTGTTACCTACACTGCTGCACCTTCTTGAATTATTAGTGAGATGTGCCTTGGTACCTTCTGTCCCACACACATCTGAATCTTGTTGGCTCATCCTCAGGCTCACTGGTGAATTTTTATTGTAAGTGCTTTCTCTGGGTTTTTCTTAAGTAATGTACTTCCCATCCTTTCAGAATGCATATACTGAAAGCAATTACTATGTATGACAGTGTATGCTGTTTTTTGTGATGTAGCTGTCACCCTAAGGCATTTTGGGGATATCTGTGTCTGACACAGCTGTTTCTCATTTAATGCTTATCAGTTCCATCAAGACACCAAGCTACTGTAGTACCTTGAACACTATGTAGCCCCTTCTCAATTTTTAGCAATGGAAGGCAAATGACATATTTCTCACTTCCCATTGAAGCTGGGACGATGTGCTAGGTGTCGAAAGACAAGAAAAAAAAAACCAACAACCAAAAGAAACCCCCAAAAGCAGTCATTAAAAAAAAAATCCTAAATGGGTAGGAGATTAAGCTTTGTACTCCTCTCCAAGTGTAGATCACACTCCTTCACTTTCATGCTCATTGGCTGCTGTCCTTTTTGTCTGATCCTATATATGATAGCTTTCTCAATTCTGCTCCTGAATTTATTTCTTTCTACAGCTGATTTGGCACCTATTGTCATCCATTTATCTGAATGAACTTTTTCCTGCCATGTTTAGATAGTGATTTTTGAAAAATCTACTTCCATGGCCATTGCTTGATCTTGTCTTTTCTTAGAATTTCCAAGTTTCTGCCTTCTTACTTCTCCTTTATATATCTTTTCCATCAGTGCCCAAGTTTGGGTAAGAACGTGTGCAAGCCAGTCCAAGAGAGAGCAGCTTGTTTCTGACTAGGTGTGAGCCATGGAGTGGAGTGCTGGTCGCAGTCACTGAGTATTTGTTTTGTCAGATTTGTCATGCAACATCAGTGACTGTGCTCACCATGATATTTTTTTTCATTCCCTGCTTCCTTTGGATATTGATTGTAGGGCTGAATACAGAGCTTTTAGCCACCTCTGGCTGGAGCTGCAGAGGCTCAGTGAATCAGAAAATCAAACTTCTTCTCTCAGTGAGTTTAATTTTTTTTGGTTTTCTCTTTTTTCCTAGAGCTTTGTGCTTCTCCAATCCTAGAACCATGGTACTGAAAAAAATCCTTGCAATGTATTTTGGGTGCATCACACACAGGTTGTAGTTTACAAACAAGTCCTGGATTTCTGAGCATTAGCCTGTGACCAATTCTGGCCTGGTGTATGATCTGTAGAAGTTAGGAGTCTACAGTAGCCCCAGCTAAAAAGCTGGTCCTCCCCACCACAAATAGAATTATTAACTTTACGCACAACCAGCAAATTCACCTTAATAAGAGTCTTTCATAAGGAGAAAGCTATTCTTGGCTTTAAATATGGAGTGATCTTTGCCATCATTGGTCAGACTGAAAGTGAAGCTTTTCTGGATCTCTCTTCCCATATGTAGAGTTCATTTCACCTCGTCCTACTTTGTAATAGCTAGATTTTAAAGAAACAAATAATCACTGCGAAACTTACGAGCTCTAGATCTCTCTTGGAAAACCAGTTGCCAGACTAATTAAGAGGACGTTGCTGGTCTAGAAGGCTGTGTCAAGAAATTTTTTAAAACTTAGTTTGTAGATCCACCCGTTAAAATTTACTGATAAGCATGTGAGTATTGAGGCAGCTGAGGGTGATTTATGATCCAAAAAAGCTTGGGAAGATTGTGCTGTGGTACAGGATTGCCTTACTTGCCAGTTACTCTGTTGGCTCTTTGACTTTCAAAACTTAGATGCCTTCAGACATTTCGTATGTTTACTTTCCCTTCCTTTTGGCAGTGCAGCATTCCTCTCTCTGTCAGCAGTGGAGGACCGTGCTTTAAGCTCCTTTTCATTCATTGCGCAGTGATTCAGACTCTTGTATTCCTCCCACTCTGATAGAGCCATCTCAGACTGTTGATGGAAAGCTGGCCAGCCCCGCAGTCCCAGCAGTGATCCGCAGCAGACTTGGACCAGTGTCTCTCAATCCTTTCTGGTGCTTCCAGCTCTCTTTGAGTGGCTATACATATGGAGGAGTCTCCAAGCCTGTGTGCGTGCGATTAACTCCACAGTGCAAACAGATGATGTTTGATCTTCTGACTAGTGAACAAGGTCTGATGTCAGTGAAGAGAATAGTTGTTGATGTTTAATGGACAGGCTGCCTTGTGCCCAGTCTGTTTCCCAGAAGCAAAGGACATCTTTCTGATTGTTTCCATGCCGTTGTTGATTGTGGAAGAGAGTGAGAGAGGAGGGCTGTGTGACCATTGAACTAGTCCTGTGTGTTACCGACTGTGGATGGGAGAGAGAAAGAAACAGAAATTGAACGTAGGTTATGTCAGAAGTCGTACTTGGAGCTGTTTTGCTAACAGTAGCTGTGGCAATGCACTGCAAGCTTTCAGGCCTTGTTTACCAGTGCATATGTTACAGGGTATGACTGCACACTCAGAAACACGAGGAAATGGTTGGGCTTGTCTTACCTTCTTGTAAGCCATGTTGCTGGAGATTCTGCAAATGACAGCATTGCTTGTGTGAGCATGACTGGCATAAATATTTTACTGAATACAGTTAGTCTTGAGACATGGTTGCTAGCCTTGGTCACATGTAAACCATTTTTTTATTCTGGAAACCCTGCAAGTGTCCTAGGTAGTGACCTGCATCCTCCCTGCTTGGATTATGTCAGAGAGAAAGCCACTTTTTGCAGCAAACTTTTTCTCTACGTGTTCTACCAGAAAATCAAAGGGATGAGCCACCTTTGCTGTCACACCATCTTCCTGGTGTTTGTCAGAATTGGGCAAAAGACAACACGGCGTACATCCTTTTGCCTTCTGATTTTCTCCACGATGTGGCCCAGATCTTTCTGTGTTTTGCTGTGTTTGAAGAATAATAGAATCCTTAGAGTTGGAAGGGACCTTTAAAGGTCATCTAGTCCCAACTCCCCTGCAATGAACAGGGCGTGCACAGCTCGATCAGGTTGCCCAGGGCTTGATCCAGCCTCACTTTGACAGTCTCCAGAGATGGGGCATCAACTGCACCTCTGGGCAACCTGTGTTCCAGTGCTTCACCACTCCCTCAGTAAAAGATTTTTTCCTTACATCCAACCTAAATCTATCCTCTTTAAGCTTGAAGCCATTTCCCCTTGTTCTATCAGCACAGACCCTGCTGAAGAGCCTGTTCCTTTCTTTGCTGTAGCTTCCTTTTAGATACTAAAAGGCTGCTATCAGGTCACATCACAGCCTTCTCTTCTCCAGCTGAACAGCCCCAGCTCTCTCAGCCTGTCCTTAAAGGAGAGGCGTTCCATCCCTTTGATCATTTTTGTAGCCCTCCTCTGGATGTGCTCCAACAGATCCATGTCTCTCCTGTGCTGAGGACTCCACATCTGGACACAGTACTCCAGGGGAGGCCTCACCAGTGCAGAGCAGAGGGGCAGGATCACTTCCCTCTCCCTGCTGGCCACACTTCTTTTGATGCAGCCCAGGATATGGTTGGCTTTCTGGGCTGTGAGGGGGCATTGCTGGCTCATGTCCAGTTTACTGTCTGCCAGTATTCCCAGGTCCTTTTCAATAGGGCTGTGCTCCATCCCTTCGTCCCTCAGCTTGTATTGATAATGAGGGTTGAGGCAAGGTGCAAGATCTTGCACTTGGATTTGTTGAACCTCCTGAGGTTCTCCTGGGTCCACTCCTCAAGTCTGTCCAGTGACTCTTGATGGAATCCCATCCCTCTGCACCCCACAGCTTGGTCTCATCAACAAACTTGCTGAGGGTGCACTTCACCCCACTGTCAGTGTTGTTGATGATGATATTAAAGAGTATCGGTCCTAGCACTGACCTGTGAGGGACACCACTCATCACTGATCTCCATCCAGACATTGAGCCACTGACCACCACTCTCTGGACTCGATCCTGCAGCACATCGTTTTTACACAGCAGCACCAAGTGCAAACACTTGAAGTGTAGGTGCCAGAACCTGCCTGGCAGGGCTGCTCCATCAGTTCAGTGGGAAATAAGAAGTGAAAGATTCACAGGCAGGCAAATGTGATAAATCCTTAACTCTGCTCAGTTTCTTTGTGTGGTAATGCTACCACTGTTTGCTGCTGCCTATTCAAAGGTAGTGTAGGATTACATTAATTTTCAGTGCCTTGGGGAAGGTTTGGCACAAAGTACCACAAGTACCTCTAGTTGCACTAAGATCATTCCATGGTGCCACTGTGCAGAAGACTGAATTCAAGCATCTGTACTGCCACAAGTGTATTCATCCAGTGCCATCCGTATCCTCCTTCCTTCTTTTCCCTGCTGTGAGAGGGAAGGCTACTCCTGCTCACTGCCAGAGCGGTGTTTGGTTGCCTGCTGACATCACCTGGCACCATCAGCAGGTTCAGCAGTGGGTGCTTGGAGAGAGGCAGGGAAGCTTCTATTCTTCCAGGTGACCCTGCAAATAGCAGGAGGGTTGAAACTAGATGATCATTATGGTCCTTTTCAACCCAGGCCATTCTATGATACGATTCTATGATAAAACAGGCTTTGGAAGTTTTAGACTAGGAGAGGGTGGCTGATTAATGTTTGTTTCCCCTCACTGTCCCAGAGCCACTAGAGTGGGATTTTTAGCTTATTCTGGACTCACAGGCAGGGCTCAGCCTCTACAACCATTTCCAGAGGTTGCTGAGAAATGCCTGTCCCTCCTCTTCTTAGTTTCTGCTACTCTGCAAGCACTAAATTTCTTTTGTTTTTCATCAGCACAGTGCTTGCTGTACACTGACAGATGCATGTTTGTCAACCAAGACCGCCAGGGCAGTTTGAGGTGTGAACAGCCTCTTCCTTGGCAGTACAGTCAAGTCAGGAGGAAACAATACTGTTATCTGATTCAGCAGTTTCCCATGTCCTTATTTTCAGATCAGCATCTTCATGACCCACCTGTCTAACTATGGGAATGACCGCCTGGGACTGTACACTTTTGAGAGCCTGGTCAAGTTTGTGCAGTGCTGGACCAACCTTCGCCTGCAGACACTGCCCCCAGTCCAGCTTGCAAAGAAGTACTTTGAAATCTTTCCTCAGGAGAAGAATCCCTTGTGGCAGGTGAGAAAACTGTTCTAATCACTCCTCCTGGTTTTCCTAGATCTATGTTCCGTATTTAAAGCAGAGAAACTGGTGATCCAGAGCACAGAGTGGTAATGCATGAAGGTTTTAGGTTTAACCTTTGTGGTTTCAGGCTGGAAGTGGAAGGGAAGGGGGTAATGGTGTGAGCTTAGGAACAGGAATGGCTGGTGAAAATGTTTGGAAGGAGGGCTGTAGACATTTGGGTCATTAAAAAGCTTCAATAGAGCAAAGTGCTGTGAAATGCTAAGCGTATGAGGAATAACCCTGTTTGTTGCTCAAAGAGCTTTGCAGGCATGTTAACGTGATTAATCTTAAAGTAATTTCACACCACAGAATTCATGTTCATTAAATAAAAACATGTTTATTCCATTTTATCCCAGAGCAGCAGCTCTGCCTGATAATGAGCAGATGAAATTAACTGAAGGTGATAGAGTTGTCTGCCAGCCAGCAGTTCACAGATGCTTAGCTGTACTATCGTGGTGGCCCAGCCCAGTGTGGCTGCACATGGCAAGTCCTGTGGTTTACACTCTCGGAGGGACTTTGGCTTCTGGGTTGCATTGGGCTTTTGAAAAATGTTCCCTCCTGCTTTTATCTAACTCGCTGCTTGGCAGAGCAGCAGTGTGGTTGTGAAGTGTTCCTCATATGCTAATAGCATCTTCCCTAGAGGACTGCCTTCCAGCTTCTCCTCCCCTTTTCATTAGCTCCTGTGCTAATGCTTAATCCCATCACTTACGCTGCAGAATCCCTGTGATGATAAGAGGCACAAGGATATCTGGTCCAAAGAGAAAACATGTGATCGACTCCCCAAGTTCCTCATTGTGGGACCTCAGAAAACTGGTAATGTGAAAACTTTGTCTAAAAATAGATTGCATCTTTCATCTCATTCCTCCAGAGAGAACTGGAAAGGTCTGTGTTGTAGATCTGTATTGCTGCTCTTCATACAATCTGCCAAATGTCCACAGAGGACATTTCAGAGAATCTCAAATTTGTTCTTAACAAAATCTTGCAAGTCTGTTGCTTCGAGCCTTGACACTTTCTTAGCACCAGTCCTTGTTTGCAGGGAAAAACCCTACCTGCAGAGTTGTGTTCTGGCTTTTCCACCCAAGCTCAGAGAAGCTGTGACCTTTCTTAGTTTGTCCCAAGACATAAGCTGTCAGCGGGACTAAACACACGCTTAGCGAAGGTTACAGTGAACGTCCCTTGGTGCCTTTATTGTGACAGATCTGTGTACCCGCTGCATGCTCATGTCACTGTCAGTAGGAGGCTGAGATCCTCTTTTGTTTGACCTCTGTCACCACCTCTTAACTGCTGCAGCATTGTGGTTGGCAGTGACATGACTATGTGTGTGTACTGTCCTGAGAAGTCCCTTCTAGCCTGAAGAGAGCAAAATCTCTTCAGCCAAAGCCAGATCTTCGGACCTCGGCTTTCTCTGTAGTGCAGTGAAACAGCAGGCACCAGCCCAGCAAATGGTGATCCTGGCCTAGAGCAAGAGGCTTCCCCAGGTAAACTTTTGTCTCTGGCTTGTGTAACTGTGAAGCCCTGTTGGCGTGTGTGCAGCGTGGGTCCTCTGGATCATGGTCCAGGCTGCTTGCAACTGCACAGTAAGAAAACCTTGTCCTGGCATCTGATTTATTGACCCATGAAAGCCCTACAGCTGGGGGCAGAGTAGGATTATCAGGCTTGGCTGGGTAAGGGGAAAACATTCACAGCAGATTCAGGCCATGCTATCTCTAGCTGAATTCCCATGTGTGGAAATTAATGTCCCCAGTGCATCTCCTCCCTGAATGTGTGATATTGTCCTGCAGCGCCCGTGTCACCTTTTGGTTGACAGGTATGAGTTCTGCCACATAGGAGTGTGGCTGCACTGCTGAGACAGGTGGGAACAGCCCAACTGCCTCAGTGCAGCTGACATGGATGACAGTTGTGCTACCGAAGTGTCTTAAATCAGCTGCATGAGTTGAAGTCTGGGACTGAACTATTGAGCCATGCTCAGTTTCAAAGTGTTTGGTGTCTGCTCTTGAAGCCTGCATGAGGAGTGGGTTAGCCATGTACGGCAGGAGTGTGTCCACTGGGGGTCTGTGCCTTGCAGCAAAGGTAAAGCTTTTGATTCAGCCAAACATTATGTGCGAGTAGTTCCTGCTATCTTGTTCCTGTTGCAGGCACAACAGCTGTGCATTTCTTCTTGACCATGCATCCAGCTGTCACCAGTAACTTCCCAAGTCCTTCCACTTTTGAGGAGATCCAGTTTTTTAATGGGCCCAACTATCATAAAGGAATTGATTGGTAAGAATCCTGACATCTGTTCTTCTGTCATAAGTTGCACCTGTATTGTCTTATCCTGAATGTTCTTGTATGTCCTTCTCAGCCCTCTTAGTAGCTTCTCCATTTCTGTTTGTTTGTTTTCATTGCTACTGCTCAGCACATGTTTGCCTCCTAACCCAACTGCTTGCTTGCAGGAATAGGACACATAGTTTTGATCTTAATGTCTGCTCACCAGCAGATACCTAGGGGTGTTATGGAGCTTTACAAATTAGAGAGTCTGTTGAATCCACTATTATCATGAGATTTCTTCTCCTTTGACAAGCAAAACAGGCAACAATGTGCTTGTTTAAAAGTTCTTTGTGGTTTCTGAGTTGAGACATACAGGACAGAAGGGAGGACCTCTATACTGTTGTTCTGAGCCCATTAGATTTACAAAAATATCACTACATGCTGCACATTGACTACAGTTTCTCTTTGGCCACATGCACACCCTCACCTTTACCTGTACAAGTATGCAATTACGATGAAGTGTTTCCACCTGGCAGGGAATACAAGCCACTATGGCACTATTATGCTGCTTCTCCTCTGTTGAGGAGAAGCAAAGACATCATTTTGCTGTGTGCCATTTCTTTGCTGCGCCACTCTGCTCACCAGTGTCCTTGTCCATTTGGCAGGTACATGGAATTCTTTCCAATCCCCTCCAATGCCAGCACAGACTTCATGTTTGAGAAGAGTGCCAATTATTTTGACACAGAGGTAGTACCAAAACGTGGTGCAGCCCTGCTTCCTCGAGCCAAAATCATTAGTGTTCTGATCAACCCTGCAGACCGAGCCTACTCATGGTATCAGGTAACTTTTCCATACTGTTTTGTGGATGAGCACATGAGAAATATTCCAGTAGGGTGAGGCAGAAAGCCACAGATCCATTTCCGTAGGGAAGCCAGGAAAGATGATAGAGACTGGAGAGCGTGGACAAAGTTATGTACAAAGGCAGTGGTGGCTGTTTGTATTGAGTCAGTGGGGTCTGCAGAGATGGCATGGGGAGGGAGGAATTTTGTTTTCCTGCTCCTTAATTCAGCTTATGTTTTTCAGCACCAGCGAGCTCACAATGACCCCGTGGCACTCAATTACAGCTTTTACCAAGTGATCTCTGCAAAATCCCAGGCCCCTCAGGAGCTGCGCAACCTGCAAAGCCGATGCCTGCTCCCTGGCTGGTATTCCACTCACCTGGAGCGTTGGCTAACGTACTTCCCTTCTGGGCAGGTAGGAGGTGTAGCTGCAGAGTGAAATAGATTAATAATGCTTTGGCAGTGCTGACCTTGAAAGAGATCATGCAAAATTTCTGGGTGTAGGAGATGAACACTGCTGTCTGGCCTGTAACTAAGATGACAAAGCAGGAACTGGTCTCAAGGAGTCCCTTTTAGGTTTAGTGTAGAGGAGCAGAGAACAAATCTCTGTTCCTTCCTCCCCTGCTCCTTCTCTTTTCCCAGATCCCTTCCCCTCAGTCCATTTATATTGTTTTCATTTCACCCCTTCTCTTATCTTTTGAAACAGGAACCACCATTTACTTTTCCTACTGCAAGCCAATAAGAAATCGGGCTTAAATACTTCAATTTTGCACTTTACTGTATTTGTAAATGTAAATGACTACAAGATGATAGTGTGATCTCTCAGGCAGCTCCACAGGCTTGAGATGTTCAGGAAGAACAGCAGTATCAGCACTCCCTTCCTTTCATCTAGGCAGCCTGCAGCCCTGGGATCCCCTACAGGCCCAGCTGGTGTTCATCCGCTTGCTGTGGTTTCATAGCTTTAAAGAGAAGCTCTTAGACTCTGCCACTTGTTAGCTTCCAGGTTGTGAAGTCTTTAACTGTCTGCAGAGGTTTAACTTTGCTAAAGGTCAGTTAATATACACTGCAGACCATTTCTGTCTCAAAATTCCCAAGGCATTTATAAACTAAGACGTTATGAGTCAGAAAATATTTTTTCAATTTCTTTCTGATACTGCAGTTATCCTCAGACAGTCTATATTCCAGCAGTCTTACAATGCCCATTAGTCCCTTGAGATTGCTGCTTTGGCAGTCAGTAACGGTACATCATAGATCTGCCAAGACTAAAATTAGAGAGAAGGGAAAATAAATCAGAGACCTATATCTCTGTTACTGTCAGAGTAAGACTACTGCAATTCAGCTATTTGTCATGGAATAATTAGCAGAAAGAGTAACTGATTGGTGCCACACTGCAAGGAGAAGTTGTAGTGAGTAGATCCTTCAAGACAGCATGATGTGTAGCCAGAAGTTTTTGTATTAGTCCTGCAACCTGTGTCTTCTTTGCATGAGAATTAAGAATTAAATCAATAGCTGAGCCTGCCTCTTTGATAAAACTAATGCAGGAGCTGGTTACTGTGTTCTTCCATGTCTGTGGAGCTGGAGTAGGCAAACAAACATTGATGTTCCTACATAAAATATGCCATCACTTTCTTGGGCTTCAATCTTACTATTCCTGGAGATCACTGATGTGAGTAATAGAGCCAGGGACACCAATTGGGAGATAAAAAGGGAAAGAAAATTGTATTGCATGGCCACTCTTTGTGCTGTTAGCTTTGTGTTGGCACACCATTCCTATACTTGCTAAGGGTCAGGGTCTCCTACATTCCCCAGACTTCAGTGCATGACTATTTTTCTTTTGAATAGTTGATATATCAGCAAAGTACTGTTCTTTATTGTCTATTATATGTATGTGCAACAGGAGAATAATCTTAAGTTATGGCAGAATACTTAATGATTGACATCTGAAAAAAGGATACACAAGACAATCTATAAATAATGCTATTGCTGGACCTGAATACTGGCTTACAGGGAAGACTGGCCAAAGACAAGTTGTCAGACAAACTCTGTTGGAATCTACTGTCCTGTAATATTTGTGGCCCTTATTGTACTTCTCTGTCTGCTACATCTGGTTCCAGAATAAGCAGATACCAGTAAGCTATACTCACATGAAGGAAGGTGGTGGAGTTTTGAGAGCTGGAAAGCTCAGCACGAGGTGTCAGAGGCTAAGGTGGCTGGTGTTATTTCATTTTAGATTCTCATTGTGGATGGTCAGGAGCTGAGACACAACCCTGCCTCCGTAATGGACAACATCCAGAAGTTCTTGGGAGTTACACCACTCTTTAACTACACTCAGGCCCTGAGGTAAGGAAGTAATTTTTGGACAAGCTACTTTTTTTAGCCAAGTGCAATACAATAAGCATTTGATCGGAACAATATATCTTATCTATGACCAGAAGGTCTGCAAAGGTTTCAGAGGTATGTCTAAATGTTAAAATTAATTTCAGGTGGCTGTGTCTGGATGGCATGAGACACTGGATTGGACTTGTAACTTAGTCCAACGAAATGAAGGGGGAAGGGCTGTTTTTTGGCACTGTCGTGGAGAGGCGTGAAGTTGCTCACAGCAGAAATTACAGTGTTTTTCATTTGGTCTTTGTGGTTTCAGAAAAGGTGCTGAAGCTTTTAGAGCTCATTATGCTTTGTGTTTCTTACACCTTGAATCTGGCAGAAAGCAAAGAATTTGGGATAAAAATGAATGACAGGCTGCTATTCAGCTTGATGGAGATTAGAGACACAGCAGAGAGTTTTGAGATAAGAGTCTATTATTACAGAAGATGTGGACTTGACAGCCAAGTCCTAAGGAACTGTTAGCAGAGGCAGTACCTCATTGCTACCAAGTTGAAGAACATTAGTCAGCCATGACTACGATGTTCTGCACAGTGCAGTGTGAATAGGTTAAGTAAGTGCTAGCTGAAGGTGAACAGAGTTGGTATCAGTCTTCAGTGGCAAGCCACTGGAAATCTGGAATGTTGTTCTTTGCTGCTGAAACCTGGCTTTTCACACCTTCTCTGCCATCTCAGCCCATGCTAGCTGAGGGTAATAGGTGTGTCTGTGTATGTGTGCAGGCACACTGCAATTGCTCTTCCTTTAACAGTAAGGATAGGCGTACCAATTTAGGCCTCTTCCTCCAGGTGTTTCCAAAAGGAGTGGCACACCCCAGGGTGTGCAGATCTAAAGAAATGCAAGATTACTTGGAAGCCTTACTTGTAGAAGGCCGTCACAATCAAATTCTAAAAACAACAAAAACCAAAAAGCAACCTGAATTGCTCAGAAAAAAAAAAAAAAATCATGACAATAAATTAAGGATTGAACTGGGAAATACCTATGAAGCTGTTAAGTTTCTGCAGCTACTAATTGGGTATGTGGCCATATCTTCTAAATATCAGTGTCCTTTTCAGATTTGATGAAGCAAAAGGATTTTGGTGCCAGCTGTTAGATGGAGGAAAGACAAAATGCCTGGGAAAGAGTAAAGGAAGAAAATACCCTGACATGGATTCCTCGGTGAGTAACTTTCTCAAATTAGTTAGCAGCAGCAGATGAGCTGTATACACATGGAATGCAATGAGCATACCCACCTGGATTTTTCTACTGCCAGTGATAGGAAATGACCTGAAGACCCCTGCCAGAAACACAGTAAGAGTGACATTTTCTTTCACGCTAATGTAGTCTGTCTTTTCCATGCAGTCACGGCTGTTCCTAAGAGACTTCTACCGGGAGCACAACATTGAATTATCCAAGCTGATGAACAGACTTGGACAGCCCCTTCCAACCTGGCTCCGAGAGGAACTGCAGAACTCCAGCTGGAGTTGAGAGGGACTTCCCTGTTCCCAGTGCCACTGGGATGTGTGGTGCTCCAACATGTGCTATGATGCCATCTCTCGTCAAGCCAAAACAAGTGGACAAATGAGCAGTAGCAGAGAATGTGCATGTGGAGCCTTTCCCCACCACTGGGAAGGGCTGCTGCTTCTGACACTGTCCTAGGGCATGGAGTGCAAATCTCATTCTGGAGTATTAATGGTGTGTCACACTTTGACTCTTACTTGCAGGAAGGATTTGTAATGCCTGTCCTACTTTGAGCAGGAGCAAGAGCACGGTTAACACTTTATGTTGAAATTACTCTTCTCAGTATATGAAACAGGCACTAGTTGGAGGGTTAATGTCTTTCACCTCTGAGTCCAGAGAAAAAGATGTGAGAGGCAAGATACAGAGCCCGCTGATCAGAAAAGAGGAATCTGCTCCAGTGAACCTCAGCTTTGATCCAGTAATCTATTATTTGGCAACAGCAAGGTACAAGAACACCTCTTTCCTCCCCCTGTAGAGTACAGTGGCCATGACCATTATTTACAGTGCCACAGTGTGTGTGCTGGGGACTGCACCATCTTGGAGACACAGGCCATCTTATGCCTGTTAACATGTCCTTATCTGCAGCCTTGCTGGTGCAATATGGTGTCCAACAGCTCTGGTCCATGGGCAGTGGGAGATAAGGCAAAGCTGCAGATACTGACACCAAATTAATTTCCTGTCTTAGGGAAAAGGTTGCCATACATGACAGCATGGCAAATATTTCTTTCAATGTCTTCAGCCATTTCAGAAGATACCCAAGGAATGATAAGTCAGTCCCCTTGAGCACTTTGGAGGCCTGTGCTAGCAGAGCACAGTAGCTGGGGGAGGCAAAGCTCAGGTAGTGTTGAATAAGGCTGAAAGTAGACAGTTCAGTTTCCCCTGTCTGATTAACTTAAAAATGTTGCTTTTTTTTCAGTCTATCCAGCAGCTGCAGGGCCTCTACCATGTATGCTAATACTTGTTTAATCCCCCTGCAGTCCAGCATCCTCCTGCAAAGAGAAATAAAAAACCCAACCCACAGTAAGTACCACTAAGATATACAGGGAGGGCTTAGCATTTTTAAGCAAGAATGTGGTTTCCTGTATCCAAAAGGGGCTGTTTGTTTAGATTACTATTTCTGCACACAGTCAATACTTTAAGTACACTACGGTGCTGTGCCTCCTCTTGCAGTTGCTGGATAATTTTTCTCAGAGGAAATCCTCCATCGTGGTTGTACAGTTTCTGTTGCTGAGCCATGGGCTTCTGAAGTTGTGTGGGCTGTTGTCCCTCCCTCCTGGGCACAGATGGACCTGTCTTGCTGCAGTTCCAGAGAGGGATAGGATCCATGTGAACACAGGTTATGGAAATGTCTACAACTGTCACAAGCTCCTTTTCGCCTACCAGAGGAGAAAAGTTGCTTCAACCAAGCTTTTCCATTGAGCCTTAGGTATTGTGTATTTCCAATTGAATGGTGCATTTACCGTTGTATGTAAATGTATATAGTATGCAATATAGTATTTTATTTCATGTGCCCTTGGAAAGGGTTATTTTGTGCAGCCAAAAAAAAAAGGACAAAGACTAGAAACCCCTCTCTCAGTCCTGTTAGAGAGAAGAGCCCAACTTCCTGCACTGGATCATGTATAGGATCATTCACATTGAATGATAATGAAGAAATTCCTGGCTCTCAAAACTGAGCACAAGTGTCTGAATAAAGGCTAGAAGTAGTAGTAAGTGGATTCAATAAATGTACTACTTATTTTTCTTCCTTGTGATGATTTGGAGTGATGATGATTTGGAGTGATGTCGTGGATCGTAAGCTGGTAGAAAGATAAAGAAAAACCCTGGAAAACATATTCCGGTTCTTACAGCTGATATTTGAGAGGGCAACAAAAGTGTTTGCTTTAATTATAATGGAAATGTCCTTTTGCAGCTGTAACAGTGTAGTAAAAATGTCTTTCTTGGTATGTGCAACTGGAGGCTCACAGAAGCCAGTACAGCACAGAGAACCTGTGGTTGGATACTCACCCTTACTGGGTTGCACTAGTGATGAATTTTGAGCTATTTCCAGCTACTGCAGTAACTCCCAGCTGCTGTGGTGCAGCAATAGAGCTTTGCTCTGTCCTTGCTGTCCAGATATGCAGCCATTGCATGGCCTTGGCCAGCAGCCCACGAGTAATCTGTGATAACACAGAACCTTACATTCAAGACAGAGCAAAACATTATTTAAATAGTCACAGTTGTGGCAGAATTATAAAATAGCCTTTCACCTCTCACTTCACTTTACCAAGCACTTCAGAAACAAACATAGCATCAGCAAAACAGGTATTTTTTACATACTGCCATACTGGCATACAGAGCCCAGGACCGATGGTACTGCTGCCCCATTACACACAGAGCTTCCTTCCTTCTCTTAATTCATTACAGGTTCTCTCTTACATATTTACCTCAGAGCTGTGATAAATGTTCAAGTAGATGGATTCAAACAAACACTGGAAAAAAAAAAGTCAAGATACTAGGAACAAAGTTGGAAGGGACTTACTAAATGTCAGGGCTGTTAACTGACAATAGTCCTTCAATCAAGGCAGCAAAGAGCAGCTCCGTGTTCTCATTATTTGTCCTTCCATCCCCACTGATTTCTTTGTTGCTGTGCTGGCTTTTTACTGCTTACAGCAATGGAGAAACAAATCACCTGCTATGTCTAGACCATGTCAAATGTATGATGTCCTTACCTGATGTAGCCAGATACACTGATTACTTGGTCCTGACACAGTCACTTACTTGCTACTGACCCTTACAGCTCATTTTGACAGTGGAACTGAGTTGCAAATAAACTTCATCTTCTTGCCTCACTATTTAGTAAGGAAGAACTTGACAGCAAGTAGTTAGTTTTCAAGACAAGAAAAATGTTAAGCATAAGACATTACCTGAAAATTATTTTGTAATGTATTAATGTTTTCTTTTTTTGGCATAGGAAACTGAGTCATCAGAAAGGTATCAGAAGGGCCCGTGACTTTAATAGAAGCCAGATCAGGTCACTTCAGAAATGGAAGTGTGTATAGCAGGTGAGAACTGTGAAAACAAATGTTAAGAAACAAATAAAAAAATAAGTAAAAAGCAAGCCAGCAGAGTATACATGCCAACCTAAACAAAGAAAGGTCAGCAACATGAAGCCAAAACTTTTACTCACTCACAACCTCAGAAATTCAATCAATTAGAAAGATGCTTACTACTTGGCTTTCTAATTTGTACAGGGAATACAGGGAACTGGTAAGAACATGTGCAGAAGGACAGAAGAGATTTAAAGGCTCTGGGAGAATTTCTCTGTAAGTAGCATCATAGTTCAAGTCTACATAAAATCTGATCCCTCTGATGACAGTACTGCAAAAGCATGGTCTTGGCAGAAGTGTACAGATAGTGGAAGTCAGAAAGAAACACAAGAGTGTGTTAAGAGTATATTAATGTAATGAGCGCCTTGATCAAATATACCACTACTACTGTTTTTCAGCAGTTTACATATACAGTTGAGAAGAGACTCCTTTCATTCCTTGCTGATAATTTTGCTGTAGCAATAATAATATGGCAAGAAAAGTAATGACAAACCAACCTGAACAGGACTGTGGTCGCTCATCCCTTTGCTGACTCCTGACTTCCACTGCCCATCAGGGAGTAAGCCACCGTGTGAGCGCGATCTAACAAGCACAAGCTAAGAAGAAAAGCTCCATTCACTGAGTAGGATATGGAGTTGTTGCTGTACCCCCCTCCAGTTATTAGGACTTCAGCTATTGTTTATTTCTGTCCCCTTCTTACTTAATGCTTTCTGGAATTTAAAAAAAAAAAAAAAAAAAAAAGAAGAAGAAAAGAAAAAACCCTCCACCCATAAACATTAAGAATTGTTAATTTTACTCTCATCTTTGAAAAAGACCTTACAATTTTGTGGCAAAACCAACAATGTATCCCTGACACTTTAATCTCCAGTGCTGTAGTGGAATATGTAGAAATAATTTATTGATCTATTCAATCTGTTTTTAGCTTTGAAGAGCATTTTCCCTCTAAGATTCAAATCCTCCTCATTGCCATCCATATCACTTTATTGACATCTCTAGTCTCTCCAAAATGCTTGCAAACCATATGTCTGTAATTCTGACACTGCATTAGCAGGCTGAAATCCAGCTCAAGTTTACTTTGCAGTAACAACAAAGGATCATAAATCAGACTGTTCTCAGAACCCTGCCAAGCCAAGTATTGGAAAAGGTGCACATCAGGATTTATAGCAATGTGTTGACAGTAAGGTTTGCACAACTGCTGCCCATACAGCCCCAGCATTCCTAACAATTATGTACTCCCAGTTGACTTAAACAAGACAAACTGAAGTATGAAATAAGAGAAAGTTATGGAAGACCATCCAACTCTGTGCAAATTACTATATATAATAGATTTTAATGCATTGCTAGCATTTCTCCCCCCAATTCCTTAATAGTTCATCATGTCCTTAGTGGCAACAGAGTAATTGTGCAGTGCAGACTGTACAGCATTAAGTAGTTACTCTATAACTGCAAACAGGCAACATCAACAAGAAAACAATTGCTTACAAGCACAGACACTGTTGTTATACCAACAATTAACAATATACAGCAGTGGAGTTACCTTGTGACAGCTCACAAAGCTTGTATTTGGCAGTTAGCCCTGAGAAAAAGCTTTAACTCATGGTAGGCTCAAACTGAAACCCTAGCACAGAATATCCCCAGACTGCACTTGCAGTTCTCACAGAGTAATGATGCTCTTTGACAGGAGCTATTGACCACCCTGCCCCCAAGCAAAATGTGAGCAGGAAGTAGAATGAAAATCAAAATCCACTTTTAAATTGTGCTGAGGAGTGAGAGGAGAGGTAGTAAACAAAAATGGTAATATTAAGAAAGACTCCCTGTTGTTATTTTACCATAATCACATCATATGAAGCTCTAATTAGGGCACAGAGAAAAACCAAAAAATTCTAAATAAACTGTTAATTGAGAGCAGTTCATTCTATCACTAGGGATGGATTAAAAGCAAAGCCATACAGCAGTTGTAGTCATAAAAAATATGTATATATTTTAATAGTTAAGTTCTGCTACCCTAACTTGCATTTTTAATTTTTCAGTTCAGATTTAAAAAAAAAAAAGTCATCAATACTGTTGTAGTCATCGACACCTTTATGCTTTTGTGATCTCCCAAGTGCACCCTGGAAACATCATTTTAACACTGTGCCATTTTTTTGGATTCCTGGACAAGTAAAACAAAACCAAGAAACAACCAAAGTCTTATAGAAAACTACTTCTCTACTACTTAGAAAAACACTTATGTCACATTTCAGCTAACTTATTTATACGAGGATGTATTAAATTTCACAGACACAGACCTTGCTTACTCCATTTCTGCTCACGCTGCTCTTGCAAAACTCTTCAATGCCCTCTAGCACTGTGTAGCAGTGGCCAAGCCAGTTCTAAATGTGCTAAGCTTGATTAAAAACCAAACTCCCACCACCAAAAAAATGCAAACAGTTTAGGTTCACTGTGCCCCTACAAGGGTGTTTCTCTCAGGGTTTCCTCAGAGAAGGAAAATACATATCCCAAATAAATACTAATGAGGGTAAACAAACATTAGAAAGAAACACACTTTTCAGCTAACTCTAGCCCTAGCTGTTAGGCTCGTTATTCATCAGATGACAATTCTCATGGTTCACTGGCTGGAAAGATGCTGAAGTCCAAAGGCAGATAATGTCCTTCTGTCTCATAGTCCTTGGAAAGGACTTCCAAAAGGAAAACCTTCACAGGCAAGAAAGATGGTTGTAGGTGAATATGTCCTACATATTTCCCTATGGAGGAGAGAAGCAAAGCAGGCCCTCACAGAGGCTGATGTGCCCGATTTTTACAGAAAAAGGCTGCATCTGCATCAAGAGATGTGTTCCAAGCAATGACTAAAGCTTTTCTTTTATCCACTGCATAAGAGCTAAATCAAACCATTCCTCCTGATGACCCAAATAGCCAAGAATCCAGATGTTATTTTGGCACATTTATCAACTTCACTAAAGATATGACCACCTCTACAGACTGAGAAACTATGCAGGAATCAAAAGATTAAGTTTAAATACACTGCTGTCCTAGAAACAGCTTTATTTATAAGACCACATATACAAGTGGAAAAGATACTAAATGGCCATTAACTTCTTCAGGGAAGAAACATATTTCCTGTGGTCACATGAGGAAATAAATGTAGCAAGTCAGAGAAAGTCACTGTGAATACAGAACACATGAAGAAGTACAATCTATAGATCTGAGTACTTTCCCCATGTCTGGAACAGTGACAAAACTGAGACAGCTGCACAGGATTTTAATTTTTCTAACTTACGGTAAACTAATGCTTCTTTGATCACCATCATCTCTTATAAAAGAAAGATTACCTCAAGCACCTTCCAGGCATGTAGCAGGAAAAAAACATACCCTTTCTCACTCTTCCTGTCCTTGTTCAGATATATTTCCATGGCTCAGGAACAACAAGAGATTAATGGATCCAGAGATCCTAGATATAGAAATGTTCTGATCGGTCTGAATAAACCATAAGGCAGCCCCTCCACACAGCTCCCTGAGTGCTCTATTTTTCAGAGGTAAGACTGGAAACTTGCAAAACTACTGACCTGTGCCTCAGACCACTGAGCTGCTTGTTCAGTTGACATCAGTCTGAGGTGAGATTCCCTGGTTCTTCCTCTGATTGGGCCCCACAGCTGCTAAAGACAACTCATACAGGGTCTGTTCTGGTGTTGAAAACATTCAGCTTTCTTGCCCATTTCCCTCTGCTTCTTTCCTTCTAGAAGACGCTCTCTCCTCTCCCCTTAATTGTTCTCCATAAACAACGGAAAGGAAAAGATTAAACTTCATTAGAAAACACTCATTTTTTCCTACAAACTCCTTTCCCAGCCCTGAACATATGAGCACTAAAAGGCACAAAGTGCTCTAGGAAGGCCAGAGGTGAGGCCTGGACTTCTCAATAACAGGCAGCTCACAACCAATCCAGAGTTAACTTAAAAACCACATAACTTCACACATTCTTACGCACACTGGCATTTATAATTAGCACGTAACCAGAGAGCAGAACACATGGTGGAGGTATACAAAGGGCTGCAAGGAGAACTTTAAATAGTTCCTGTTGCACAGTCAGAACTAAGAGAAACTTAGTGATGCTCCTTGGCCTGTGCAGCACACAGAAGTCAGACCGAAGGAGTATGCTCATGTACTTTGTCCTATGCTTTTGAGTTAATTTATTTCTTATGAACGTCATTGAAAATATTAAACAAACATACACTTTTAGCTTGCAAAAACTGAAACCTCCCTATTGTCATTGGCTAAACCCAAGTAAGTAGCAAAATATATTACTATTGAGACATTAAGATTCTTAACATACATCAAACCTCTAATTATGGCATTTAAAAAAAAAAGAAGAAAATTTTGTGCTTGTATGCTTCCAGATGGCATTAGCCTTTTAAATTTCCTTGGTATAAAAATAAAAGCTTCCTAAAATTAATTTTCTGCAACATAAAAATCGGGTAGTCCAAACAGCTCTCACAAGTGTGAGCAGCTCTGGTTTTGCACAAAGCTCTGGAAATCCAAAGAAATACATTATCACATGGTATCCCTTGTGCTTTCCAAAGCACAAGAGGAACCCGGTGGCCAGCATAAGCGTAGAAACTGCACTGGGATGCCCCAGGCTTTCCACCAGCTCTGCTCACACCCATCAGCCATCCAGTCAGTGCAGTCCTCAGCCCCTGTAGAGGTATGACATCCACAGAGCACAACCAGACAAGAAACTTCTGGATCACTGCTTGTACAAAAGCTCTGGCCACCTACCTCGTGCTAGCTGCTATTTCCCAGTGAGCCTTAGACTATCTACAGCACTCACAGGAGCTCCCACTGACACACGGCTGGCCAGTTCCATCAGAATGTCAACATCATAGCAGAGAGAAGAGAGAGTCAGTCTAAGAAAACGAGTGTTTAATCAGGAAACGAGAAGAGACAAGGGATAAGAAACTGATTACAGGAGAGTAATACCCCAGCCAAAAGAAACATGATTGTACAACTCCAAACGACCAGGATCAAAACGTCCTAAGAGCCAGCAGTGTCCAGAGAGGGACACTTGAGAAAGAGCCCAAGCACTTCTGGCAGTCACCAGGCAGCTCCAGGCAGTCTTGGACCTTGCCCAAGCTCCAGCCTCTGCCCTCAGCAGCTGCTGCAGAAAGCTGCAGAGGTGGCCCTGGCCCTGCTACTCCAGTCTCAGCTTCTCTCAGCAGGAAGATGCTGAAAGGAATGAACGGAGCACTGACTGTGCACAGCAGTCTCAGCTTCTCCCGACAGGAGATGGTATGTGGAGTAAGAGAAGCCCATACATTAAAAAAAAGTTTACATATTTATAAATGCCAAAATAAATATTTAAGACAAACTTCCCCACCCCTCAAACACATGCGCCAATCACCCTGCAACTGCTCGCAGGACAGTCTCCAGGGGCTCAGGGAAAAAAGCAGTGACTACACCACAGGGCAGCCAGCTCGACTTCCTTCTCATTTCCTGATGCTTCTGAAGCCCGCAGCTCACTGGGAAGGTGGAGGAAGAGCGAGCGAAGCAGGGCACCAACACGCAACAGTGCTGGAGAGGAATGTCATGGTATAAATACATCAGATCAGTGGTTTCCAGCAAGTTAAAACTAAAATTAAAAAAAGACACCAGAAGGAAGGATGGTGTAAATGGAACTACAACTACTCAGAGCAAAGGGTTGTGTGGAGCTCCACCTGCTGTCACGGTGAGAAGGTGGTCATTTCCAGAGAGACCCTTTGCCACAGATCCTTTGTCTGCTTGCCACGCTTCAGGTTCTGGAGAATATCATTAAACTGCATCATGCCCACGGGAGTCAGGCAGAAGGCGCTTCTGGCGCTGCGGATGGCATTCACAAAATCATCGTAGTCAGCTGGAGCGAGGTGGATCAGCCGGTAATGGATGTACTGGATGGAAACAGGAAAAAAGCCTTCAGGTATTTTGCTCACCATCTTCATGCTGGTGAGAAATCCTTCTGGCAGGACTCGAGCTTCAGTAGTGATACATCACATGATTCTGCTGCCCCGGGAGAGGTCCCAGGATTCAGAGACATGGACAGAGGACAGCTCAAAAAGCAGGCCCGGGCAACTGCCAGTATCTGCAGGTGTTCTCTCCATTGTGAACACCAGACAGCAGCATAGCACAGAGCAAAAGGGTCACCAGAGCCCTTCACTATCAAGCACTAGCATCAAACCCTCGAACTGTTCATTCTGCAGGTTGTACACAGGGACCCAGCATGTTCATGAACATCATCTTCACTAAGGGGTATGGTGGGAGCAACTGCACTGAGTTGCTACAACATATCTCTAGGGCTGGCACACTTCTCTTCCCATCAGTACTTCCCTCAACTAAGGCCCCAAACCTAAAAGTCCAGACTTCAAGAAATCTGTTTCTCTCGTGGAGCTCAAAAAAACAGCTCAAATAAAGAAGCTGTCATTTCCCAGAATCATACAAGTGATGGGACAGTTAGCCCAACCTGGACAGTATGTTTACAGAATCACCCTTTTGGTCACTTATTCAAGAGCAGCACTCAAGGGGTATCCTACTTATACTGTTCTAAGGAACAGGCAGTTGGCTCGCAGAAACACACCTGTCCTGTTTTCAATAAATCCTGAGACATCTCATCTGTATTGGGTGACCAAGCCACTCCCACTATAAATGCCAGCACTGACACATTAACCAGTCATGCAAAGACTTTGTTACGAGGCAGAGAGGGACTACAAATAAGAAGAAAATAAAAAGGCCAGAAAGACAGGTGGACAAATGGCTTGAAAACATAGCAAAGAAACAGTACAGAAGTTAAAAGCATGGGTTAACATTTAGAGTGAGGAAGAAAGAGGATAGGGACCACAAAACATTTCCATCCTGTATAGTGAGCACCAGAGGCAAGAGGTCTTAGAAGAATGAGCACAATGCAGTCTTTTGTATGCAGCCTTCACGCAGGCAGGCAATGCCTATCCCATATCCCTTGTGCATCAGGCAATGGACCAGTTCAGTTTGTGATATTGAAGGCTCTTCCCCTCTCTACACATGCACACACAGGCAATACCTACAGGGCAGGCAATGGCAGGCAGGAAGACACACCACGTTACCTGCAAGTAGACCTGCTGGCACCTCTGCACCAGCTGGTGGAAGGCTGGGGTGCGCAGATGGTTGTGCACATGTGCAGGGTTGAGCCTCTGTAGAGCTTCCATGATGATATCCTGAAGCACAAAAGGGTTCAGCACTCCCTTGGCTGCACCGACACAAAACTGATGCACGTAGTTTACACCTGCACAGGAGGAAGTCAGAACAACAGCGTTAAGGTGAAAGACATTTAAGAAATTAGGTGTCTTCCAGGAAGAACCTGGACTTACAGCATCTTTCTCTCAGTGTTACATATCCTCCAGCTTTGGGAAGAGTCCAGCAAACTTACAAGGACAAGCAGTTATTCTGACAAATTCATCAAGTCTGAGGAGAGACTAGGTACTACCTCAGTCAGCGATATTTCCTGTTCACCTGTCTTTAAAAGGGATATGAAAGAAAACTGATGGGACAGGGAAACTATAGAGACAAGAATACACCACACCTCTTCCCACTGCTTCCTGCCTGCTCATCTAGGAAGCAGCTGCAGCCCCAGCACCCATGTCTTCTGGATACTGGAAGGAAATTAAGGCTTCCCCGCCACGGTGGAGCTCTGCTAGCAGTAGCAGAAGTCATGCCACCAGGTAGGCTGTTTGCAGAGTTGTTTTTAAAGCTCTTGCTACTGGTGAAAGAACTAAAAAATGAGATGACAAAAAAGACTCAAGATCAAAGTGTAACTAAAAGAAAACAGAACAAAAAAACCCAAACACTTGGTGGTCTGAGCACCTATTCCTATAAAAGGTCTTTGCAGAAAGAATAAACACACACAAAGAAGAAAGAAATGTTTACAAACTAGTGGAAAGGAAAAAAGTTACTATTACAGAATGGAAGGTCTGAGCTCTGTCCAATCCCATGCACTTTAAGTGCCTTAAAATTCAACAGCTTAGAGAGCCCAGAAATGGAACAACTGCCTGGATGAAAGAGCAGCAGGGATCTTTCGAAAAATTCTCAGAAATGAGATCAGGAACCAGACCCACTCAGGCTTTGAAGTTTCACTCTTAGAAGAGCTTTCCCCCCACCCTCCATATTCCAAATCCCAGAAAGTGGATTTCTGCTGAAGCACTGCTCTGAGCCTTACCTAGCTTTGCAGCCAATCCAAGGAGCCATTTTACATCCTCTGTATAGGGTGGACTGCGGGAGAAGTTGTTGGGATGATCGCTCTGAGTTCTTCGGCCAAGCATCTCCAGAGCCAGCATCCCTGTAAGAGAGAGGCAGCCAGAGTCAAGCAGCACTTCTGCCCTGTAGTACTTCATTCACCTCAACACTACCTCATTGGTCCACCTTTCAATGGCAGAAAATTGCCTAACTGCAAACTCCACAGAGAAACAAAAGGCCCATGTCAGAGGCTGTCACCAAAGGAAGCAGCTGGATCTGCTCCAGACTGGGAAATCTGTACAGCCATCACATGTCACTAGAGCTGCATAGAGACACTGCTAGATCTACAGCAGGATCAAGTCCCAAAGACCGATAAAAGATGTCCTGAAAAAAAAAACAGCTTCAAATTTTGCAAGCGAGGCTACCTAAATCAAACTACTTAGCTGCAAAGACAACAGGCCAACAGCAAGTAGCAGTAGCATCAATTTGCAGACTTTTCCCTAATTCCACTAGCAGCTCTTCAAACAAATTCTCCAATTTAAACAGTTTTAAAATACTAACTGGAGCTATGTAATGCAAAAAGTCTCTTTTGATCTTCCAGACCCTCTTCCTTCATCTTCCTGTCTGTTATTCAAGCTATCAAAATGCCTTCCATGGCTTACTACTTACCCCTGTGATGCTTCCTATGAACATCTGCACCCCCTCCTGACTGGACAAGTTACTTTCTTCTCTAGCTTTAACAAAAAAACTCAGGCAATTTCCATACAGTCTTCAGTTTCTTGCCGTTTCTCTTCCTTTGCTGCCCTGCAATGGCTCCTCTAATCTTAGCAGGGCCCCTCCTCCCTCTCTAAGTACCTGCTTTGTTGGGCTCTCAATTTCACTATATACAAATAGCTTACTGCAGCCTGTGCTCAAGCACAGACACCAGGACTGACATTCTTGCACAATGGTAATTTCAGGCACAGACTCTCCTCTTAATTAGTGTAACTGAAAAAGGAATACTAATTACACACACTCACTTCTTGTCAGTCTTCAACAGCCTGGTGGAAGAGGCACAGGGAACATGCCTCTGTGCATGTGAAGACTGAACTGGTATTGTTAAAAGAGGTGTGCCTGCACCACCCACGAGCAGCAGGAACTAAACTTCTTTTCACAGACACCTCCACAGAGCTCTATCCAGACTCCTCCAAAAAACACTAGTCGAAGGGCAAGCCTCTTTCCAATACTAACCCACTTAACTTTACCGCTTACTCCCATAGCTCTCAACACTTCAACCTCTATTTAAGACCATGAATTGGCTTTCCCCATGTAGCTAGGATATCATCCTCCTCAACAAGTGCAGCAGCAAGTTGCCAAACAGTAAAAACCTGTAGCCCTGCCCTGAATCCTTCTCCAGGGGGCCACAGAAACCCACTTGGCCATCCTTACCAACTTGGTATGCGGAGTGGAGGTAGTGCAAACCCTGGGGGCTCACAGGCTGGCTGTGCTGCTCATCCTCAGCAGGAAACCCCCCTGTAACAAGGGAGTTGGGCTGTGAGGACAGAGATGTCAAGGAAGCCCCTTGAATTGCTGGGAACGTTGATCCTGCATGGACACTTCCTACTGAAAAGAAAGCAAAACAGCAGCATTAGGACTCACCAACCAAAGCCTAAGAGAAGTTTTCTTTGGGCTCACGTACTGTTCTCTTATCCTAAGTAAAACAATACAAAAACTGAAAAACACAGACTTGCAAGTAAAATACAATGAGCTAAAAATGTCTCTATTTTGTTTGCAAGCAGGACCTAAGCAAGTTGATCAGATGCTTGCCCATCTCTTCTGCTGTATACCATGGGTATGCACATGACATGTGTTTCACATGTTAAACACATGTATTGACTCAAAAGTCTTTGCAGTTACTAAATGATGTCTGGTTCTGATTTCTTATTCATGTATGTGAATGTGCCCATCAACATCTGGTGAGAAACTGCTGAGAAAACAAATCACCCAACAGGAACAATATTTTCTCACAGGAAGTCCAACATTGCAAGGTTCCTCCAGCTCTAAGTTACGACACCATCAAGATACTATGTGGGAAGAGAGTTACTAGAGGCTAGCTGCCAGTTGACCCTCATGAAGAACTTCTCCTGTACACCTTGGCAGCAGGTATCTACAGTAAAAACTGCAAGGAAACTTCAGAAGATTCTCTCCCCTTCAGACACTGAACAATACAGACAAATTTAAGGAAAATTACAGAAAAATCCATTACATTATGTCACATAAGCTTGTAAATTTTGACAGCAGTTAAAATTAAGTCACTAAGCTGTATTCTGACAAGGGACTCAAGTTAATCTTTGCTTCTCAAGAAATGCATGGAGAGCATTTTTTTTTTTTTATTTTATTTTTCAATGTTTCCTAGTGAATGGTTGTATACCTGAGAACAATACGCCTCCCAGGACAGATCTGTCTAACCTCCTCAGCCAAGGAGACACAAAGTGCCAAACGACCCACAAAGTGGGGAAAATCCATGCTACATTTGACATTTGGCCAGGAGAACAACCCACAAGAATTAACTGAATTGTTGCCAAAGCTCAGTTGTCACCATGTGGCTATGTTCTTCAGGAACAGCAAGACACTATTTTAAGAACTGAAAGTAGAAGTTTCTGAAAGCCTTAAACAATGGCAACTGGAAAGGGTGGGGTTGTTTTTTCCTTTTGTTATTTTAAATGCTCCAGCATGAATTAACAGTTCAGTTAAGAACTCAGTCAGCATCAGCAATTCCAATGCTGCATGCTGCTTGAAGGGTCTTCACCACTGTTCTAGCCCCAGCACAACATGTAAGCACTCTTTCAGACCACTATTGATGTGATTCTGCCACAGCATCCGCCCTCCCTACAGAAGTTCTACATTTCAGGTACTGGATGCCTCCAACTTCTTAGGGTGGGAAAAATATCCATCAGTGCTACTGTCTTCTCCTTGCATGCTCTCCCAAAAGAATCACAAGTCTGCTCGTTTGTGCTCATCTTGTCCTAAGGAATGGACACTGAGGGCTAAAACTTCAAGTAAGTTAGAGGTCAGAAGACCAGGAGGTCCATGGAATTGAAGTCTCAGAGTTGAAAATAATGCTGTACATTTATCAGACATCAGTTAAAGCTCCACTAGGTAAATAAGGCCTCATTACAAATCTCAGTACCACTGAGCAGGCGCATCTTTAGGCAGTGGTGGATTTGGTCAGAGTTCAGGGCAAGAACCCTTGTCCCAAGTGATGTAGGTAAGGAGCAGGGCTTGGAGGAGTACAGCTAGGAGACACAGTAGCAAACGTACGCTACGCACAATGCAGGGCTGTAACACTTACTCGCTACATTGGAAGACAGTGACAGTCCAGTTTCACTGTGGTAGGGATGCACTGCTATCTGTGTCATGGATGGGACTGGCACACCAGGGAACGACACTGCAGTAGCTGCCAATGATGGTGTTGTTACCGAATAGGGGTACTGCGCTCCTATGAATGCTGGATGGACACTCTAAAATAGACAACAAATAACGGTCATGCCTGCTGTATCTCACCATTTCCAAGTCCGAAATACGATGCCCCCACACTAGCCTCAAAAGCAGCGGAAGTCCAATTACAAAGAGGAAGCATAGCAAGAAGCAGCCCAGTAACTATTTTGCACCACATGACTACTACAACTGCTTGTTCCTCCTCCATTTAAATCTGATTACTTTGCACAAAAGCATTCCAAGAACTTTCATAAATAGAGACTAAAATAACCTTTAATTTTCCCTTTGTACTTTCTATTTAGTTTCAAGATAACAAGGCTTCTGTCATAGCGTGTGTTCTGAAAAACTACTGTGTAATAAAAATTAAAACCTACTAATATCTTTCATATTCTTTCAAGACTTTACATGCACCTACAGAAGGCTCTTTATCAGATGAGAAGCTGAGCCGGAGAGCCAAAGCTGGCATCGCAAACCAGTAAGAGAATACATACGCCAATCTCAAAACACAGCCAAACAGCTAGGGAGAGCCCCACGCTCCCCCCAGCTACACATACTCCCTCTGGAAGCAGTTACACAAAATTTCTGTAAATGAGTGAGCTGCAGGCAAGACTCACCTGTGGGTACGCTGAGCCAGGCACTGGGAAGACAGCTGGACGTGGCATGTGCTGGATAGTGTGTCCAATATACTGGGGATTACAGGGAATGTGAGTCTGAAGGGTGGTGTAAGGGTGGAGGCCCTGCGTGTGTGTATGCGCCATTGCCGGTCCTGCCATCGTATGCTGCTGGTACATGGTTGACCCCATAGAGATTACTGGCACGACCGTTGCTGCTGCGGTTACTGCAGCTGCCACTGTTACTGTGGTTGGCTCAGTGGTCACCCGGTTGTCTGTCAACCCACGAGCTGCTTCTGACACAGCCCGTGCACCACCGGCACTGCAGCCAGTGGCACCTTCTCTCTGAGCTGGAGTCCCACCAACAATCTGTTCATAAAGCCAGTACCACTGGTGAGCTACTTCAAAGAGAACTTCTGGGTAAACGCCACCTCCCTTGGCTGCCTCTTCTACTGCCATACAGGCCTTTTCCAGCATCAGATTGTCCTGAAGGCAGAGGAGAAAAAAACCAAACAAACAAGTGACTAAAGAAGAAACAGGAACACAAGAACACAAATTACAACAGGAGAAAAGTTATAAGGCACTCTAAAATGAACAAAGCTATTTGGGAGCAGCTAGATCACAACTGTGCAGCAGAATAGCCAGAGCTATTCACAAAAGACAAACCTACAGAACTGAGACTAAGGGCTGTTCTGTAGCAGACAGGTGCCAATCCCATAAGTAACAGTACGTCCCTGATGCTGGAAACCAGCCTGTTAGCCCCCATTCAACACTCACCTGTTCCTTGCACTGCACCAGAGCCCTCTGGATCTCATTTGGATTCAGGGCATGGGCGTGGGGCAGGCAGCTGAGTGCCAGTTCAGCAGCTGCCCTCACCATGTTGGAGTCTCTGGCCCGTGAGGCTCTGTCTGCCAATGATGCCACCTCTGGGGGGGTCAGATGTCCATCCCAACACTCCACTAAGATGTTCAGGGCTGCACTACCAATCTCCATGGCCTGCCCTAAGAGTAAAAGAGAAAACTCTCACACTACTGACCATGCCCACAGAAGTTCCTGCCAGCTTTCCCTCAACAGGGGGTGCACTCATCACTTTCTTCAGTTATGCAACAGAGTACTGTTGCTCACCTTAGGCTGCAAATCAAATAAAATGCTCTTCTTCCCAAAACACAGAACAGGGAAAAGCCCTTGATAACGAAGCAGTGAGTGAAGGTATCATTATTAAAATGAAGCTAAAGATGTATGCGAGGCAGTGAGATGAACTTGAAAGAGTCTAAGGCTCTTCAGAACTGAAACAAAACTGCACAAGTCACTAGTGCTTAGCCTGTGCTACTGCCATCTGTGCTTTACATGGCTGCCACAGCATCATCAGCTTTGGGAATTAGCTCACCCCCTGCCCTTTCCTGCCCCAAAGCCAGCCTCCCAATTACGTTCTGCTGTAACCTGTGATCCAGGAGACATGGGAGGAGTAAGTTCGAGAGAGCCAGTTGGGAGACACAAAGTTGTGCAGCCCTAGTGCATACAGCCCAATCTCAAAGGCGCAGAGGTGAAGGTTGCGGTGTGGTCCCTGGTGTCCACCACTGGAGGAAGGGTGGGTGAAGATGGAGGTACTGCTGTTTCCACCTGCTTTGATAAGGACTGTCTTGGCCAATTCAAAGTAGAAGTGGGCAGCTGCCTCTGAAGGCTGGTTCGGGACATGAGGAGCATGGCTTTCCAGCCGCCTCCCTTTATACCTAAAGAAAACAAGAGAAAATTTTCAGAGAGCAATGGTACTCCAAGTTCTCTAACTCAGGTGCAAAGTTCTTATCTTTAGGGTCCACAGAAAACAAAGAAACTCTCTCAGGAAAGTATTTCCTAATGCACACATGCTAGTTTTCCGACATCAGGGAAGGCTGCCTCTCTGCATCATGTACTATTCATTACCTGCCAACTTCCACAGTCTTTGCACGGGCTCCCCCACTGGCTCTCCTACTGCCACTGGAAGAGGAAGATCCCAGTGAATCACTTGAAGAACTACTGATGCTGTCGCTGTCTTGTCCTCGGCCCCAAGATGTTGCTGCCCATCCCCCACGTAGGGGACGCCGACTGAGTGTTGGAGAACTGTCAGAGGTAGTTTCAGGAGCACTGCTGTCAATACTAGCCATGCCTACAACACCAGAGCACATACAGTAATGTCAACAGGTGCACCTCATGCATCACCGACAGTCATGTCAGTGAGTTTAACACTGCAAACTGGATGAGAAGAAATCAGTTTGGCCACAGATATCACTTTGAAGTTCTTGGATTAAAAAGCAGAAAAGTCTGAGAACAGTGTTTCTTCATTTTCCCCTTAACACAGTATCTCAGCCACTCTCTCCATCCGCTAAGCTTACGGCAGAATATAACAAGATGCAAATATACAAACAAACTTAAGATCTATAGATGCCCTCCTGGTGCAGGCTGCACAGTTTATACAAAGGTTTTCCATAACCTGAAGAGAAGTGCGTCAGGCAGCAGCTCCCCTAAATTTGTTTCTAGACCCAGGAGCACAGTGCTCTGCTCCCTGAAAACAACAAATATTCTATTCCAGATATCTAGTCCATTACCCAGAACATAGCTGCTGTGAGAAATGCATGCACATGGTAAACTGCAATTCATTAGAGGCTGGGGAGGAAATCTGTGGATCAAAACCTTTTTTTTCCATGCCAAACAACTCAAAGATAATCAACTGCTCCTGTAGTATAGGAAAGGCTGACAAGCAGAATGAAAGAGCAAGGGAACAATTGAAATCTCAGCACGGTACCCAGCAGAGCACTAGGTGTTAGTTACTACCTGTGTGTTTCTTCTTCTGCCTGACAGGTGAACCCCAACATCTTCCGTTGTATCCACCTCGGTTTCCAAGGGCCAGACGACTGGGGACCTTTCCTTCCTGTTTCAAGACAGTGGATTCCCCAGCTGGCTCACAGGGGGACCTCTGAGAGCTCTCTGCATAAACAGGACAGTGACAAGCTAATTATTACAATTTCTTTCTGCATCTTTAAAATTATCAAAAGATGCAAGATTTTTAGAAATTTGGGTGTATTTATGAGCAGGATTATCTCAATTTTTTCTGCATTAAGCATTTCATCAGATAGTAGGCTAAAAACACTGAAACTTAACACAAAATTTGTAAAATTTGCTGCAACTGTGCAAATTTACAGTAAAAATGCTCCAGCAACCCTAACTTTATTGTACCTATCCTCAGCTACAACTCATCTCTATGGGAAGGATTAAGTGAGCATCCACTCTCCTGCACGTAATGCTTGTAACCGAAATGCAAGCACAGTGTATGGGAACTACTGAGTCACGGCCTGAACCTCTGATTGATCACCTGAGGTGAGCCATGAGTCAGCCAGAGGAGCACAGGTGAGGGCAATTCAGCTGTGCTGCCGGAAGGAGTGGAGCCAGCCTCCACCCCTCCTAGACCTATTTAAGAGTTGGCTACCAGTGGGGAAGGGTCTCATCTGGAGATCTGCTCTGCTGGAGTTTTCTAAGTGAGCCCAGGATATGGGTAAGCTTTATATCTATTCTCTTTGTTATCATAATTTGCTTTGCCAAACTCTCTTGTTTATTTTGTAATTATAACATCTTAATATTCATTGATTATACACACAGCTAGAAGAAAATCATACCATTCATCTCTAATGATCTTCAGCAATTTATCTTGCATGAATGCATCTGACTCAGTTTGTAACTTTTTGAACACTGCACCTCTGATACAAGCCTAAAAGATGGAATCATAGTGGTTTTACAGTAACTGGCTAACACGGCTGGCTCAAGACAGGAAAGCCTGAAAATTAGCTTGAATTTCTAAGCAACAACAACGTGTACAGAAATGGATTCAAGCAAACAACGGAGGAAATAACATTCCAGTAACCACCAAGAAACCAGGTGGTGATATAAATCATTCTGACTACTATTCAACACAGTTGTGAATTTATGGTTTAGGTTTTACATGGATGACCAAAGGGTTTCAAGCATAACCTTTATAAATCATCTCTTACCTTGTGAACTCTTCTCCACAAAAGTCTCAGGACTGCTCTGAACTGCTGGGCTTACACCAGCTTGCTGAGCAACTGAAGTCCCTGGAAGCTGCTGGATGGCTGCAGTAGACTGGGCAGCATGTTTGGAAGGAGACTTTTGGTTTGCTACTGTAGGCTTGCTGGAAGAGTAGAAGGAACTCAGAGTCTGTGGCTTATGAGTCTGACTCTCTCTGTCCAGAAGTTTGTCTAAAATCTTTAACAGAAAGAAAAAAATTATATAAAAAAGCTTTTCAGATGGATAAGAGAACAGGCATTATACTAATAAATAGTGGGAAAGTACCACATCATTTCTTGGAAGACTATAAACTCCACTTAACTGGAGAAAAAAAGAGAATGCTTTTCCAGTAAAAGGAGCAGCACTTCTTCACACAGAAGATCAGCTAGGCACAGTTGAGAGCCATATGGCCTGCACTGCAACAGTTCATTTGTACTCAGTAATATCCCCATTTTCACTTCAAAAAAGCCACTGCCTGCACTTGAAAAACACCTGAACTGACATTACAGAAGCAGTTCTGCCACATCAAGGACAGAACAGAGGATTCTACATTTAGTGTCTGTCATTATATGTTCTTAAGTTGAAGTCATTAAATTTCCATGCTCAACATCCAAAACTCCTGTCACACAATTACTAAGAAACTGGCAAAGCCACTTCAAACTTTCAGACACTAGAGAAATTGCCTCCCACCAATGCACAATAACAACACCTTCTTCACTTTATTTATTACAGAACTGGGGAACAAAGCTTGACCGCATTATTTTTTGTGTTTGTCCAATTCTACTCTTTGTTCTATACATGGAATGAACATCACATGTCTGATAGAGCACTTATTTTTAGATGACTGATATCAGAACCTCCCTGTTCACCCTCATTGCTGAGAAGAGTATAACAAAAAAGCTTCAGCTTTAGGTGAGAGAAATACATTAACAGTATTCTTACTGGGAGAAGTGCTTCTGGATAAGAACGATAAATAAAAACTTTCTTGAAGCTTCAACAATTTTTTATAAGTTTTTTTGTCTAAGTCATGAAGTGGGAGTAGAGTTGTACCCTCTTTTGCATGAGCCATTAAGGCACAGTGGATTGAACTTGTGTATAGAATGAGAGATTAAAAAGAAAACAAAATGCTGCAGCAAAACAGAACTAATCCCCATATAACAGATACAGAGCATACTGGAAACCCCTGGGACAGAAACCTTGTTTTAGCAGCCAAGTAAAAGTATAAGCTACAGTCAGAAAGCATCTCTCAACTGGAGCTTAAGAAACCTTTGGTAGGAGCGCCTCTTCCAGGACAATGCATACTGTGCAGTCAGATTTTGCCTCAGTAAGAGAACATACAAACTAACCATGTGCTTGCAAATCATCAGTGCACAACACAGTGACTTATGCTCACCGGGAAAACTCTGCAATCCATCAAAACACAGTCACAGTTTACTCTGCATCTCTATGTCCCCTTTTAAGGGGAGGCTCACCTTCTTCAGCTTCGATTGATCATCCTTGTAGGTAATCATCAGAGCTAGTGCCAGATCTCCTTTCTCCCTTCGAGTGCCTTCACACAACAGAGGATGTTCTGCTTCACTGACAGTTGTCTTCATGCCTACAGGCCAGAAAAGAGAGGGATGAAAAGGCAAGTGAGCCCATGGGAGTACACTGCATCCTTAGCAACATATATACATATGAAGAAGAACTTTTCCCATTTCTCTGTTAACTTCAGAAATAGGTCATGAATAAACAGGAGTGACCGTATGCCCCCAGAATACCAAGCACAGTACAACTGTCAGAGCAATATGATCAGAACATGCCATAGAGAGGAGGCCAGACACGTCCACAACTTCATCTTGAAATACATTTTTCCAATTTCTGCAGATGCTACAAAGCCAGCATTTCTGCTCCATACATCTTTGTCCTTTCAGAGATAAGGCAACAGAGGACCAGTCTTGTTTAACCCATTCTATTCCTAATTTTGCATGCAGCTTTATAACAGGCATACATTACTACCAACAGAATAAGCATAACTACTGCTTTGTCACTGAAGCTGTTATAAATGAGAGGTAGGAATCCAATATTCTAAGATCTTGAATTACATGATACTGCTTAATAATTCTGCTAATCTTTCACCATCATTGTCTAATCTCTTCTGAATGATTGCCTCTTTTTTTTCCTCTGAAACTGCTCATCTTCATTAAAGCAATACATCTTCCATCACAAGAGATCAAAAATAAAACTAAGATACCACTACTACTTTAATGGTACATCCAGTTCCTGCCCCATATTACCCTTCCTTTTTCTTTTTTTTTTTTTTCTACAGCTTTCCCAAGGCACCTCAACCTGGCATGCAGAATCGTTCTGCATCTAGTTCTGACAAACCATGCAAACACTTTCATTTTTGTACCAAATTGGAACAAGCTATTTTTTTTTTTTTACCTTTTACCACCCAAAATAAGGGAGAAGATGCAGAACACAGATAAGAAAAGCTTCTTCTTGTAAAAAAAAAAAATAAATAAAAAAATTCTTACCAAGAGCAGCAACAGCTGCTTCAAAACCAAGTTCTTCATCTCCAGGCATTTCATTATTCCAATTGCGACTTGGAGGTCTACAGCCTGTAGGAGAAACCACTGAAAGAAGACAAGAGAATTAGTGCTCAGCTTTCAGAAGTAGGATCTCAGGGTAGCAGCTGTTTCTGAGAGCTTTCTAAATTTGCAGAGCTTCCCATGCTCCTATTCCTAATCTTTGTATCAGTTTCAAGACAATACCTTGTTTTTCTTCCCTTTTTCATCCTCTAAACTCAGAAGGCTCCTTAACCAGGCAGGAACATCACCAAGTCATCTAATCTCAGAATGTTGGTTTCTTTTTTTAAATCCTGCACTTATATTATCTTCCACTGAACATAACCATCATAATAGCAGAAAAGTCAATCATTTTAACCATTTTAAAAAAGCAGACAAGCACTGCTGGAATATGGTAAGTTTTCAGTTGCTTCTGAATGTAAAAAGAAAGAGAATTTATATCTCTGGAGCAACATGGAAGCAAGAGCAAGCAACAGTGTGGGAAGAATCAAGATTAAGTTATTATATATCCAGTAGACGTTTTCTGTTTGAAAACCCCTCAAGACCTGGAATCTCAAAAGATTCCCTTTGCACGTTCAAGCCAATGTACACAGTACCTGGAGTGCACAGGACATCAAATATAAAGCTAGCCAACATGAGAGGCAGGACAGGACGATAATCACACAGTGTTCCTTCTCGCAGTTCTTCAGCTCTTCCTCGAATAGTATTCATCTCATTAGTGACCAAGGGAATCTTCTTCAAGAGGGCTGCAATCTCAGACTCCTGATATGCCAGCTTCACCTGGCAGTAACCACAAGGGAACAGAAGAAGCTGTCATCAGCACCATTTTTCCCTATACATACGTTGAAAGTATGGCAATAGTTTTTATTGGTCCATCACCTTACAGCAGTTTTTAGCACCCAATTCTTTCCACAGTGAACGCACATCACAGAATCATCATAGAATGGCTTAGGTTGTACGGAACCTTAAATCTTCAAACCTAGTTCCAAGCCCTCCACCCTGGGGAGGCTTGCCAACCACCAGATCAGGTTTTCAAGTTTAATATACATCTTGACCCACATTTATACACAGCCTCCTTCTTCACTCAAATTATCACTGTTGAGCTATCAAAGGAACAGCAGGAGAAGCGTTTGACTAGATAAGGCACTACAGAAGTGATGACACGTACAAAAAAAAAGGATGCTAAGCTAAGAAGTACACTCATTACATACAAGAGGGATTGACTAGAGAATAACAGCACAGGGTGGCAACAAGTACAGCATACCAGGGTGAAGACCTACATTTTAATACTCTATGCAATTTCTGCATTCGTTCTATTTTGAAAATTTGAAAGTGATTGTTTTCTCTGAAACAGCATAGGTAGCTTGTGACTGCCAATCTCACACTTAATCTTGTAATCAGACTGTAAGAAGTACAGATAATTAGTGTAACAAGTGTACTTGGTGAATTACTAGCAATAATACACATCTCCAGGGACTGCTCAACACTGCATTCAAAGCAATGCGGCTGTAAATCAAATAGACAAGGTCTTAACTGAGTACTTCTCTTTTCTAAACAGGAAGCCTAGTAGTAATTAGGCAGTGTCCAAAACTATATATCTGCAGTGTGCACATGAGCATATGCCAACAAATGCAATGTCACAAAGAGCAACAAATTTTCAAACATGAAAGAATTGTAGCAGTACACCCTAAGAAATATATTTCAAACTATTTCATCAATGCAAGTATAGACAATTCAGTTTACAAATGGTTGTTTTTTTCCTCCTAAATTGTCCAAGCAAACTGGAAACATACTTAAGATAACAAGAAGTAAACTGCTGCGTTTAAAATAAAATACTCATAAAATATGCCATTCTCATTTAAACACTTTCAAGACTCTACCTTCCCACGAAATCATAGGCCTTTTGGCAAGGATGTCTGGTCGTCATTTCAGTGAAGGACAGCCCCAAATGAAATGATATTTCTAATCAAATTTCTGGTAAATCAACACATGCTTGGGATTTGTGGACAGCCCATTTTGTCTCAGTATAAACAATTTTTAGAGAACATATTAAAAAATGACCTAGCTTCAAGAATTTAAATGGGAACCATAAGCATCACAACTTCCTGAAAGGAGGTTGTGATGAGGAGGGGTTTGGCCTTTCTCCCAGGCAACCAACAAGATTAGACATAAGGAAAAACTTTTTCTCTCAGAGTGGTCAGGCACTGGAATGCCCTGCCCAGGGGGTCACCATCCTTGGCAGTGTTCAAGAGGCATCTGGATGAGGAGCTACAAGATATGGTTTAGTAGCTTGAGGTAGCAATGGTAATGAGAGGACAGTTGGACTAGGTGATCTTGTAGGTCCTTTCCAACCTTATAATTCTATGATAAGCATTCAAGCAGCACAATGTTTATCATGGATACTGCCTTTAAAATGTTCTTTACCTCTAGTGCTTTTGTAGAGGCAGGCGGTCTCTGCAGCTCCAGAGCAAACATTCCTATTCGGAAGGCCAGGTTGTGGTACTCCAGCCGCTCACTCAGTACAGTCAGCAGGAAAGCAGCTTTGGACAAGGTGTTGGTTGCCATCCATGTTTGCTTGCTGGTTGATACCTTGTTCTTTTTGCCCTGTTTGACAAAGAGTTTGTAACAGGATGCTTTCTTAAACATCCTAAATGATGCTATGCCCGCCTTCCTATTCTTTGCAATAACAAGAGACAGAAGAAAAAAAACACATTTAGAAGTGATTTCCTTTGCTGAAGAATAACAAATCCCAGTGGTTATTAACCACCATCACTCCTCCCCCTATCTCATCTCAGCACAACATGATAAAGAGTTGGCCTTTGATGACATGCATGTCTGGTATTGGACCGATGCTGTGCAGGCAGATGCTGCATGCCTGGTTTGTTCCAGGGGAACTTTTCTTTAAACTGCTTAGTGCCACTACAACTAATTTTCCAGAAATTTATGCTTTCTTCTTTCCTATCCAATCCTGCATTCTAAAACAGCAAAGCTCCTAACATTTCCAATGCGCATTATGAAATAGCACAGTAAGAAAAAGACTAAGAAAGAAACATATGAAACAGGCAGGTCACCTGCACAAATCTACACAAAAATCAAGACTTATTGCTGTATAATCTCATAGCACATAGTAGCAGGTATCTCTTAAACAAAACATTCTTTGAAGTTGATGTTAAACAGGATGCTTTATCCCGTTAAACAGGATGCTCAACCAGATTCAAAACAGGTTCCTAAAAAAACTGCAGCTCTTAACAAACCAGGTTGAGGAACTTGTAACAAAACCAGAGTTTCTTAAAAGTTCAAACGCAAGCTGAATGGCCTCTTACATTTTTTTCTCCTTTATATTCCTTCACAAGTGCACAGTGATCAGGTATGTCAATGACACACCAACACATCAGGTATGTTAGTGACAACATCAATGAAGGGACCTGAATCACAATACACAAGAAACGCCTAGGAATGCTGATGTACCCATCCCACATCTTTATTCTGTTTTACCCTCCATCCCCAAAACTAGGTAAGTATTCTCTACCTTAGTTGGTGGCTGCTCCACTTTGAGATCTGGAGGGTTGGCTAATAGGTCCCTGGCAAGTTCTACAGTTAAGCGACATGCTTCATTGCTGTATCCATGTGCATACAGGGCTTCTGCACAGGCAAACAGGATCTGTAAGAAAGAACAGGTAATCATATTCAAATCACACACCTTCAGGCTAGAGATAGCCTGCTCAAACCAATCCTCTCAAAGTCTTGGTAAAACACAATTCGCAATTAATCTCAGCAGCAGGCACACTCAGTGAACTCCTTGCCTCAGCCTTCACCACCATTCCTTTAAGCACACCCCTAAAATGCTTATCGTGTACAAATAGTTCCTCCTTTCAAGTGCTATAAGAGATCAGAGAATAACTCAAAGGAAACTGACTATAACTGTTTCCATGTACCTCCTTTTTCACTGCTTGTCTATTTAGGTGTAAGCCCTGAATGTATATTGAGGTAATTACAGAAATGTGACAGTGTCTATTCAGATTGTCTCTGGTCTTCCAAAGAACTTCTGCTTATGCAGTTTGATAGATTTTTCCTCCTGGTGGGCACTCTTTGACCTTACTTATTTTGAATTTCAGCTCAATTTTTACAGAATCACATAATGATTGTAAAGGACCACTGTAGATCATCTGGTCCAAGAGCTCTGCTCAAGCAGAGACATCCAGAGCAGGCTATTCAAGTCCACGTCTGGACAATTTTTGATAAGACTCCACACCCGCTCTGGGCAGCCTCTGCTAGTGCACTGGACACCAAAGAAGTGCTTCTTGGTGTTCATGTGGAACCTCTTGTATGCCCATTGCTTTTATCCTGGCACTGGTACCACTGAAAAGAGCCTGGCTCTGTCTTCTTCACACCCTCCCTTCAGGTGTATCAGGACACTGATAACATCCCAAGCCTCCTCTACTCCAGGCTGAACAGTCCCCTCTCTCTCAGCCTCTTATCACAGGAATGATGATGCAGTCCCTTAATCATTTTGGTGGCCATCCACTGAACTCTGTCCAGCACGTCCAGGTCTCTCTTGTATGGGGGGATCCAGCAGAGGGGAAGGATTACCTCTCTTAACCTGTTGACAATACTTTACATAATGAAATCAAGAATATTTTGGTTTTCTTAGCAACAAGGGCACACTGCTGACACACGTTCAACTTGATATCCACTAGGACACTTAAATCATTTTCTGCAAAGCTGCTTTCTAGCTAGGTAGCACCCCCAACACATACTGGTGGCCTGGAGTTATTCCTTTCCAGGTGCAGGACTTTGCACTTCTTGTGCAAAGAGGTTCTTGTCAGCCCACATCTCCAGTCTGACCAGGTCTCTCTGGATGGAAGCACAACACTCTTGTGTATCCATCACTCCCCCCACTTCTGTGTTATCTATGAATTTGCACTCTATCACATCATCTAGAACATTAAGATGTTAAACAGGACAGGACCTGGTACTGATCCTCTGCAGTACTCTGCTCATTATTTTGCCTTGTATGAATGGCTAGAAAAAAGAAAACAGTTTTGCACACATTTGCAATATAGGACCAGCTAAAATTAGGACACAATTGCACAGTAGAAGGAAATTAAGTTTGTAGGAAAGCAAGTGTGGTACTTCCACATTAAGACTATAGATATCTCATAATATAATGGATTATGATATAATTAAGCCATATAACGATGGCTTAATAATCACCTTATATAAAAACATACTAGGTTAACTGCGATACCTGGAAGAGTGGAGAGAACATGAGGTTTGTAATACATGAAGAAAACTGAAAAACAGTGTTGTGAACTAGATTCTGCTCACCTCCATCCGGTTCTCCTGCTCCAGAGGCTTTATACCAGCAAACATATCCTGTTCCTCTTCATTTCCCCCTTCAGCTTTGTCATCATCTTCCTTGGCTACCTCTTGTGGATTCAGATAGTATACCTGGTAATCATCTTCCTCTTCTCCATCATCCCCTCCACCTGCCGCACCATTCTCCCCTACTTCTTCTGGCTTCAGGCTCACACCACCACTGTTCTCATCTGCAGAAGTCAGGTCATCATCACCACTACCTGTCTCTCCCACAGGATCCTTGGTTGATTTCTTGCCTGTGGAACTGCTCCTGACACTGGGCTCAGGTCCCTCAGAGAAGTACACCCCACCATCCTCCTCAAAGGCATCCCTGTAGCTCCTGCTCAGTGGGCTTTCTGTAAAACTAAACGTATTGCTGGCTTCTGCACCCAGAGCCAAGCTGCTGTCGTCCAGGCTCATCTCTGCTAAGTCTGGCTCCAGGGAGCTGTCTTCACTGCTCATGCGGCGTTTCCCACTATGCTTGCTGGTCAAACCTTTGCTCACTGGCAACTTAGCTTTGCCCACTGCAGTCTTATACACAGCTTTATCACCTTCTGCTGAAAGTCGTCGCAGAACTCTCTGCGGTGTTTCAGAGACGACTTTTCGCTTTCCAGTAAGTTCCTTTGGACGAACCGCTGGCTCCTGGGGTGAGGGACGCAGCCTGTCCCCAGGTTGCAGACATGGTCCCCCAGGCTCCTGTCCATGGGCTCTACCAGCCTCACAAGCAGCTTCTGCACACTGCAACCGGCAGCTCCTCTGTTGGATGGCTTTTACCCAACAGAATGAGTTTTTCTTGTCAGTGCTGCTATAGGTGATCCCAGGGATAGGATAAGCTTCCTCCCAGTTGAAGTAGCAGGCTTCCACTGCTGGCTTGAAACCCTGGAACAGCTTCTCCAGTGATTTCTTGTGCTGACCTCTCTTAACATTATCTATGACTTTTAGCTGCCACTGCCTGAGCTGGGAGCAAAGGTCCCTGCGCCTAAGAGAAGAAGAAAAAGAATAGGTTAGAGAGCAGACATAAAATGCACCAGCAACAAACTTCCTCTTAAACCACTCCTCTTGTTCAGAAAGCTCTTTTTTTGAATTAAGTATAGACAAGATCAGTAAGACGGCAGACTAGAAAAAGGAAACAAGTCTAAAAATAACCAATCCTAGACAGGCCCACAACATAGTGCCATGGCAAAGCGCTCTTGGAAGCATGCGTAAAATTGCACTGTGTGGCCTCACCTCCAGCACTTGAGTGCAGCTCTGGGTGCCACAACACAGGGACAGAAAGCTAACAGAGAGTGTCCAAAGGATGGCTAAGATGGTGACGGGTCTAGAGGGCAACGTGTGTGAGGAGCAGCTGAGGCCCCTGGATTTGCTTAGCAGAGGAGCTGAGGGGATCCCTCATGGCGGCTGCAGCTCCTCACAGGGAGCGGAGGGCAGCGCTGAGCTCTGCTGTGTGTGACAGCGACAGGGCCCAGGGAACGGCATGGAGCTGCGTCAGGGGAGGGCAGCTGGGGGTGAGGGAAAGGGTCTGCACCAGAGGGTTGGTGGGCATGGAACAGGCTGCACAGGGCAGCAAGCACAGCCTGAGTGCTGGAGTTCAAGTGATGTTCAGACACCGCTCTAAGACACTGGATTTGGATTTTGGGTGGCGCTGTGTGAAGACAAGATCTGGACTTGATTCTCATAGGTCACTTCTAACTTCTAGGATAAAACTATTTGTAGGAGATGTGAAACAGCACTGCTAACAACTCCTGTCAAGTACAACTGATACAGCCTGCCCAGAGAAGCGTTAAGCCACACAGGACCTCCCAGTCTCCCTCTCAGGCATGAATCTTTCTACCCTGATATGCCTATCTAAAATTTAATTTAGGCTGTAGCAGGCTATCCTCAGAAGACATAACTTTGCAAATCCTGTGTTTGCTTGCAGAACAAGCAAGACAAAAGTGTAATTAAGCCGGTAGGCTTAAATTCACCTCAATTGCACAGCAGTGTACGGGAACTGACAGGTCAAAGCATGAAGCAGTGATTGAGCACCTGGTCATGGGGTGTATCCAGCCCTGGGAGCACAGGTGCAAGCAATTCACCTGTGCAACTGGAAGGGGTAGACCCTAGTCCACCCCTCTCTAACCTCATTTAAGGGCTGGCCACCAAAATGGAAGCATCTCTACTTGAAAACAGCCTGCTTTGAGAGTTTTCCAGAGAGCTGTTATCCTCAGAAAGGGGTACCTGAAGGGGATTTACAGGAAAGCTAGGGAAGGACTTTTTAGAAAGGCACATAGAAAGGACAAAGGGAAATGGTTATAACCTGGAAAAGGGGAGATTTAGACCAGATATTAGGAAGAAATCCTTTACTGTGGGAGTGGTGAGGCCCTGGAACAGGTAGTCCATTGAGATTGTAAATGCCCTCTCCCTGGAAGCATTCAAGGCCAGGCTGAATGGGGCTTTGAGCAACATGGTCTAGAGGGAGGTGTCCCTTCCTATAGCAGGGAGTTGGAACTAAGTAATCTTAAAGGTCCCTTCCAACGCAAACCATTCTATAATGATTCTTTTTACCAAACTGTGCCCAATACCTTTCTCTGGTGACCTGAAAACCAGTCAGTGGCAGCTCTACCCTCTGCCTTATACCATACAAGCAGGTAGTCCCATGCCTCATGTTACCACAGGAAGGACAAAATATTTCTGCATTTTGCAGCTCCAAATCTCAGGTATGGCCTAAATAGACAAACAAGTTAGTCTGAATGGGTAACGATGTTTAGGTGATCTAATTCAATACGTTTCTAGAAAAGTCTTTGTGCCAAGTGTTTCAATAAACTGCTGTCCTGTTCCTGCCACAGATCTTAGAGATCTGAGGTACAAGCCCAACACTTAAACCCTCTTACCTATTGAAAGCAACAGAAAACAATGTCATCAAACAGCACAGAATGCTTCTATTTGTCTGAAGAAATTAATTACGAGGGAGCAGGCCATTAGAGCTTGAGGAAAGGATTTTCAGAAGTAAGAAAGAGGAGAGGGAATTACTTAGGAAAGGTAACATAAGGATGAGCACTTGCAATGAATTAAAAATGCAGTAGCAATTCTCCTTACAATTCACTGGAAAGGATATCAACGATGGATAAAAGAGGGATCTTCTCAGTGACTATTCAAATGCCAAGAGAACAGGAAATTAAGCAGAAGTATTTCAATTATGCATGAATTCAAGTAGATCTGAGCAATTTTGAACTGCACCAGATAGCTTGAACATGAATACACGTAGCTCTTTTATATACTTTATTAAAGGCTAAAACCTTTTCTGGTTTTTTTCCAACACAAGTCAATTGATGGTTTTGTTCATTTTAAACTTCATTCCCAGTTTTCTATAGTTTTTTACTTGTCTTCATCTCCTGTATTTAGATATTTCATATTGCAGACTGTACAAGACAGAAACTGCACCCATTTTAGCATCCCTGGTGTACCTTCTAAAGATAAGGCATTTTACTCATGTCACACAACAATTCACAAAAACCAAATGCTGTTCATGTGTAACTATTTTCATTTGCCCTGAAAAACATTTTCTGACCACATATATCACATTAGACTTACTCAGTATATTTTGCACTTCACACTTTATAGACTGCATATACTAAAAAAAATTTATCAGTGTTGACCACGGTACTCAACTTGAGCAATCAATAACTCAACTGCTAATCAAGTTGTACCACATAAAGATGGCAGTGATTTACCAAGGCATGATGTGATTCAGAAAACTGTCTAAGCTTTACAATTTTTCCTCAGGCTATCAAAAACACTGGCAAAAAAAATGATGCACCGGTGACACTGTTTGCCAATACACTCCAGAGAATAAGCTCCTTAAGAGCACAGAAAGCAAATAAGCAGTTTCTCTTGAAACAGAAAATCATTAATTACTGGGCTAAACAGAAATACATTAAAGTGTTGAACTGTTAAAATTAAAAAGCATTAAAATGTATTGTTAGCCTGTATTACCAAAGACACATTCTCCACTGAGACACTGAAATGCAGACATACACTTCTGTGTAAAGCAAAATGCCCAGAAAACAACATATTATTCACATTATGTGGAGTTGCTAGAAGTGAGCAGCAACAATAGTTAAAAGCAATTTGCTCTTAAACTGTAAACTGTAGTACACAGTGCAGGACTGTGTAATGGTTCAACAGTTTAACGAGGTAATGATACAAACACAACACGTCTACAGGAAAAAAAACTGTGCACACATATCACAAAACTGAATGAGAGATTGCAGTCCACTGCTTAAGCAGTCCTAGTTCCCATACAATAGCTGATTCTGTTGCTCACCTCTGTGGACTTATAGTTGGGTCAAGGACAGCCAGCCGCCAAAGAACCACCATCTCATCACACATACTTGCACAGGCATGAGCAGCTACTTCTGACTGCCCATTGCTGCGTCCCGTGTGCCCGCTAGCACTGCTGTGTGATGCAGACGTCCGCACGCTGTACCACCAGCCGGTTATCTGCAGAAGAAAATGTTCAGTGGAGCATTGTTGTGGCTAACATCCCTGCTCTCATCTAACTTCATAGCCACAGCAAAAAAGAAGCTTAGTTAGTACCATGTTTTCATGACTCCAAAATAACTATGAGCATTAAAGCAGTATTACTTCATAAGAACCTCTCAATTTGTATTTACTTTCGTTTACAAGGCACATATCTGCAGAACAAAGCATTCACAAGGTACTCTCTTGCTAAAGACCTTCACATCTGGAGGATGCATAATAAGGAAACCCGCACTGTATTTTATGTTACAAAGTATCACAAACTGTAAATAGACACCTTTTTCCTTATATTAATAAAATATGTATCAAAAAATTCACAACTCAAACACATCAAAACCAAAGAATATGAGATTTTACTGCCCAACACATTTCTTTACGTTTTGTCAAAATGACAGTACGTATGTGAAGTACTTTGTTTAGAAAAAAGTCATTACAATAATTAATCTTGACTAGCCAAAATCAAATCAAACGTGCTGAATAAAATAGTGCAGACTCCATATATTCCTACTTGAAAAGTTGAGGTATTTGGGGGATATAACGTTGCTGAGAGAACACTGAATCATCACAGGAGCAAAGGATAACAAATTTAGAGTGGAGAAGCAAAAGTTACTCAGAGATAAATTCTACAGATACATGGGGATCAGCCATTGACTCAGCTTCATTCTCTGGAATTTCTCCCTACGAGGCAAGGTGCTCAGGTACCTGCTCATAGTTCAGACACTGGTCAGTCAGAATCTCCAGCAAAGGAGCAGCGTTGCTATCCCGTCTCTTAAACATCTCCCGCACAATAGAAAGGAGGTTCCAGATTCCCTCAGGCTCTCTCCCTCGCAGGGGACGCAGAAGGCAGGCCCACTCAGCAGCAGCCGGAGGCTCCGTGGAAGAGAGATACATGGAATTCACATCACTGTGGATAAAACAGAAGCACGGGGTTTAAAATAAAAATAAAAAAAAGGCAAGCACAGCCACACAAAATCCTGAGTATATTCAACATCCAGAAGTGTGTTTGCATCCTAGATGGGACAGCCATGCTTAACTTAGAAGAGGAAACATATGATGAGACTGGGACCACCACACAAGGAAGGTATTGTGCAAATACAGTGTGCTCCACAATAGCAACACTGGACAAGCTACACAAAAATACTATTTCCTCAAAACTAGGCATCCTTTATACCATAGCACCATGAAAGGGTATACACCAAATAGTGAACAAATTTACAGATTACAGCAACATTTCTTTTTCTCTTCAGGAAAAGATCATTTACCTGAAAACAACAGGAGAGGGCCCACAGAATTTATGAAGGGTTTTCTTTATGTTGTCACTCAGGGTAGATTCATCTAGGTACCAGGTGCTTTGATCTGACGCAGAGGGTCCAGCAGTGGGATCTTGACACAAGAACACATACACAGGTTTTGAAGAGAGTTTTCTCGTTGTGCCCAACCACAGGGATTATAGAGAGCACAAAGCAGTCTTACTCAGTTTATTTCACCCACTGGAGAACTATCTCAAAATTATACTTACCTGAATAACTGGCAATGCTTAACTGGGAGACACGACTGGCATGCTGAAACAGCAGCAGTAGAGCCAGGTGGACTGGGAGAAACTTACAGATTATACCAACAGAAACCAATTAACTTCTTTGAGAAAGTATATGGACTTCTGTACTTGGGATAGGAAACCCCATGCACCAATACAGACTGAAAGTCAAGTTGCTGACTAGTTGAAATAGTTTAGTGATTACAGTAGGCACCAAGCTGAACACAAATGAGATAGGATTATAGCAGAGGGATACATAGGCGCAGAACACTGACCTACGAGGAGAGACTGAGGAAGCTGGGCTTGTTCTGACAAAGAAGAAGAGGGTGAGGGGTGATCATTAAGAGCCTACAGATACTTGGAGTCACAGATAAACACTTACTGGTAGTGCAAGATAACAGAAATAATTAAAAATGGAGTATTCATATTGGATATTAAGAAAACTCTGTACCAGAAGGGTAATGTAGCATTAAAATAGGAATACACTATAACTTCTCTGATAACTGAGACATGGCTAAGCTAGCCCAAGCCACAGCTAACTCATTAGAGTGTTACCAATAACCAACCTTCTACTCGAAAGGAGAGATTCATTCCAACCAACACTTCCTGGAACTAAAGTAGTTAAATAGAAAAATCTTCTGTTAGAAAAGTGCATTGTCTGATGCTGCCTTTCTTTGAATTTACTCCAAGGAGTCCATTACAGCAACAATTTCCTGCAGCTGCCCTACCTGCTTGCTTGTACTTAACCCTTTTCCTTGACCTTCACTTCCAATCCCAGACACTCAGTAACCTGCCAGTTCAGAAACTCAAGGCAATAGAAATGTATCTGTTTTCTGTCTTTAACACAGATTACTGAAATAACATATTACCCCAGGTTACCTGGGGCTCCACACACTGTGTTGATTGCAGTTGACTGAGAAGATAACAGTTCATCCAGCAAACGCTGAGCAGTTGGAAGAATCTGCAAACACAAAGGAAACTTTCAGTATAAACAGTTTTTCTTACCCTAATATAAACAGCCGACAATCTGCCTGGATTTTCCTAACTAAAGGACTCACAATATTTGTATCAAAGTCATCTTTTCAGAAAGAACGGTAGAGGGTGCTAAAGGTTCTACAAAGTAGTTGTTACACTTCCTTCTCTCTCAGAGCAAATACAACGTTCAAAGCTGACCTCCTACGTTCACACTCTTAAGTAGTACAGGAAAGAACCATAGGTTATCAGCTGCTTTCTCATTTCTTGAAGAGAAAGAGCAATACTACAGCTAATGTTGTGAGGTATGGAAGCGAGCACAGTCAATGTCACCATTTTCTTGCACTTGTAAATGTTCTATATTTCTTGTTCCTACATCATTTCTCTTAAAATCAAGCTGAAGGGAACAGAGGCGCAAACTGTAAGTTACATCTACACATAAGTTTTCAGGAGGACCTAGCTCATTTACCATGCTTTTCACAGAGAGACCATATATATTTTAACTTAGTCAGCAGTAAACTAATGCAATGTCAGCACAAAATGAATGCAGCCGTAGACTCCACTCAGTTCAGTGTGTAAGCAGAGAAGGCTCACACCTGACTGTGCAGTCCTGAGTAGACATACCCTTAAGGTGGCCTTTCTGAAAGTAAAGAAATGCATAGCAGGAAACTGTTCTTCCCTTATTTCAATCTAAGTCTGGGCTCGGAACTTAGATCCGCTTAGTCTTCGACATACCCACTTTAGTTTAGGAACATTTAGGAAGTTCGGATTTAAATGAATTGCAGCAGAAAGTCTGATATTTCCTCACCTCTCTCCATACAACAGCTGTGGACATTTCATATTTCTACAAAATAAAATCATGTGAATGGCCTACGCTAATCTTATAACATACAGTCAAGATTCAGGCCCAGTACATCAAAGTTCAGAAATATCAGAGACCAGCAATGAGACCGCTAGAACAGTTTGGGCCATGCCTTTCCTTTTTCAAGGGAATTACATAACAAAGATTAAGATGCATCTGCCAAGAAAACCTAAGCTTTTCTGTTGGGCAGCACTGTTTCAGACTATCTGGCAAGAGAGTAATAATTAAACTGTCCAGATGTATTGATTCACAGCTGGTACACATGAAAGGAAAAATATACCCTCCAAAAAGAAGCAGACAGAATACATGAAAGCATTATATCAAGCAGCTCACATGCTACCCAGGAAACTAGGAGCACCACTATCAACTTTTTAGTGCTCTTCTTTATTTAACATCAGACTAGTCACATAAAGCTTTGAGGCCCTAAGCAGGGAAGAGAAACTGTCTTTCATTTAACACAGCAAGAATCATACAGTATTGATGTTCAGCATCAAAAAAAGTGGTTTAGTTTAGTTGTTGAGTTTTCTTTTAAATCACCATTTTCATTTTATATTATTTCTTTGTTTCCTAAGAAGATTAGTATTTCTGATGGAAATTTAGAGGGTGTTGTATCAATAGAATATCTTAGTGTCCCAAGCATACTATCATAATACATCAGCACATGCTGACAGTAACGTAAGTCTTAGACATGATGCACACAATATTGAAATGAGACAAACTCATGCAGGGCAGTGTCTCTCAACCTCCTTCAGTTGAATAGGCATTAAATGTTGCCAAGCCCTTATATTTTTATTTTTCATGCAAACATTTCACAGTCACTTAGGTACATTGGCGCAATAAGTGTAAGCATTTTAGACAGATTACAGAAATGACCTGATCTTGAACTACTCTATTATTTAAAGAATAAAAGAGCAGATTTTGCCTTTAACTAACAATACGTAACGTCTGTTACTTTCCACAACCCGAATGATTCTTGCAAGATCACCGAGAGACTGCACTGGGGGAAGTTAAAAGGTCACCACTTGGGTGCATTAGAAAGTAGCTACCTGGAGCTACTTTTATATAAAACACATCCCCCCTAAGTAGTCTTATCCATTTAATCAACAACAACAAAAAAAAAACCACCAAAAAAAGAAATAACTTGACTTATTCTCACCAAACTTTTTCACCACCCTGTAGTTATTTTACTGTGTTTGAACTTTACTTCCTCAAGCTAATACACTTCTCTTTCTTCTTTTAAAGACACTTCTAATCTTTCACTCAGCAGCAGACAATTGTCAAATAATAGAATAACAAGCTTGAAAAGAGCAAGAACTAAAAGCCTTCCCAGCAACTTACAATCACATGGAAAAACCAGCCATCTTGTAACAAAAGACATCACATAAATTCATCCCAAATATCAGCAAGTGAATTTAACAAGAAGTCAGTCCTATTGATTGTCCCCATTTACCTGTTGTGGAAGTTCACTGATTAGGTACTGAGCAAATTTTTGCAATTGGTCTCTTTGTAGCCGAGACAAGGACTCAGAAACAGGTGCTCGTAAGCATACCGCAGATGCCTGGATAAAGAAGAGGATATATAAATTGTCATCTACAGATCAGGCATAATGAAGTGCCCACTAAGTGGACAAAGTGTCATGAACAGTGGCTATGCTGATGCATATCATGCTTGGTCTTTTCACGTCATTAAGCAGAGCACTGCTGATAAGATGCAAATAAGCTGTCTACGTTTTAGCAAAACTGTTTTTAAGAGTTTCTTGTCAAAGAAACTGCCTTAGCAGCTGTGCGTAAGATCTGTTGTTTCTAGCAATTGCACAAATACTGGCAGGGATTTTGCAAACAGTCCTCTAAAATGGGACATAATTCTTCAAGCCTCTGGCAAAGCAACCAACAAAGCACTGTGGGGGGCCATTTCACAGATTCACAACTGCCTCATTTATCTCACTACAGATTTTTTTTTCCCTTAAAACCAGCCTCTTCCCATATCTTCAAACAACAAATTATAAAATAAATATCGGTTTCTTAACTTTGTTCACTACATGGAATAAGAAGTACCAAATGGAACACAACCAAAATTTAACCTGGAAGGAGGAAAATGCACTTTGATAATAAGCATGCTTCTGATATCAATTTATCAGCAACAATATCCCTTGGCTTGTAATTTGCTACAAAGCAGCTAATATACACAAATACGAAAATGCTTTCACCGTTACCTTTCAGGTAGAAGAAAGGACTAGGCAGAAAGTGGTCATTTTTATCTTACACAGAGTTCAAATTTTGAGAGTAAATGCTGTTACTGAAAATTTTGAGTTTCAATATCCACTTTTAAAAATGAAGCTATTTTGCAACAGAACTCTTTTTTTTTTTTTTTTGACAACTTCTCTGCCTTAAGTACAGAAAGTGAATTGATATTCCAAAGACTACATCTAAGGATGAATTTAAGCCTATTATGATTGCTCATTGTGAAATGTTATCAAGTTTCATCAGGTTATTAGCACTCATTTAAAGAAATTGGAGTTGATCATAACGACGTTAGCTATAAAATATTCTGAAACAGTAGAAAACCTTCAGTTTATTTCAATCATCCACACTTCATCCTCCCTTAAAATAAATTTCTCATTGCTTCATAAAGACTGAAAAAATAAACAGCTATATAAGTCTGAACCCCCAGCTTGTATATTGCGTGTTGATTGTACCTGTTTTCACCTGAAATCTTTGGATTTAGGAAATACCTACTTTTTTTTAGCAGGAAATACCTACTTTCTCCTTTATACAAGGCCATGCAGAATGCTAGCAGTCAAGTAAAATTATAAAGATATTGAATGTTTGAAATCTACAGGTCAAAAATGACACCTGTCTGTCTCAGTATGAGTTAAAACGAATGGATGTAAATAAAGGCCAGTAGAGATCAAAATTACTTTCCTTCTGCACCCTCAGTGATCCTACAACCAGGTCTTTTAATAAAAGACTAACTATTGATGATCTTGCACTCCTTGCAGAACTGAGAAAGAATGAATAACTTTAGCATTTAAGTGAGAAACAGGAAGGGCCCAAAAAACAACTGTATCTACTCTGAGCAATTTGCACATTATCAAAGGACATTCTGCAGCTTAGAGTTTCAGTCAACTCACACTGCAGACTGCAACTATGAGTGCACATTTGCACAATCTGTAACCAAAAGGAGTGCCAAGAACAATTTCCCTAAACAGTGCTCATGTTGCATAAAATTGTAATGACAAGAGACTCAGAGAAGTGGATGCTGGGGGAGAGCAGAAGTGTACTTAAAGGCCTACATTGTGTATCCGGAAGAGACAGAGCGCCACGACGTGAGCGCACCATTTGGCCCCAGCACCACAGGTACAGCTGCATGATGTGATCCTGCATCGGTCAAACATCACTGCCACATTGTATGCACCTTTGGGTGACATCATCTGCGGGGGTACCACAGTGGCACTCAGATGGAAACCTGTTAAAATTCAAAAGTCCAGTTACTATTGTGATGCCTGGGAGACAGATTCAGATAGCATGAAAATTAAACTGTGCGCCATTTAAACAGCAAAATATATCTAGCAACAACACCTATACTGGGATGGGCATCAGTTTAGAGTCTCTAGCACTTCTTTCTTCCCAATCAATTATGGTAGAGTATTAGCAGAGAGACATAAGACATTGTAAAAGGTAAAAAGAAACCAAACAGATTTTAATATATTAATTCACATTTTACAAAGAAAAGCAGGACTGCTGAAAAGCGTGACTTTTTGATCACAGGATCAAAGTTAGGCTATACATACTTCAAGTATGACCTCAATTAAGCCCAGCAACAGTGCAGAACAGGTTAGGTGACTTCTTGAGAATTACTTCCAACTCTGTCAATTTTCACTATTTTGTAGGGCACTAAAGAAGGCAGCACTTGTGCCTCAATACTTACTATTAACTTGTGTCTTCAAAAGCTACCAATTTCTCTTAAATCACATACCTACTTACACTGTTGCAAAAATCCTATTTTTGTAAACCATGTACTGAGAAAACAACAACAACAAAAAATCCTACTTGCTTAAACTAGAATAGACAAAAAAAAAAAAAGAAAAAAATCAAAAACAACACTTAAAAGAATCCAGCCCCGCTATTCAGTGAACAAATACATGGATTATAAATCTAATTTCAGGCAAAATAACAAAACATTTCAACAAGCCTTGGCTTTATGTAATCTCATATGCTATGCATCCCAGTTGTGCATGCAATGAGTCTTCCTCTACAGCCGAGGGTCATCCAATGGCACACATATTACAAGCAGGAAAAGGCCATCAGGAACATGAATCTTCTGTTTGTCTTTAAGGTTCCTATCACCAGTAAATCAGCTTCTACAGCAACAAGTATCGGCCTCAGACCCTTTTTGCCAGTCTCAAATTCAGTCTTAAAGCAGCAAAAAAAGTATCAACATCATAACCAAAACTCAGTCCAACAATCTACCTTAAGCGAAAAAATATGGCTTGTGATAGATGACTAAAAATTTCCCCCTCATCAGCACAGGCAAACACATTACAAATTCACACTATCGAGCTTTCAGTATGATATTGTGAGGTTATTATAAAGATGGTGTTTGGAATGCACACGACCTACTAAATTCCATCTAAAACAATGCGCAGTATTTCTTCCTCAAACTACAATCCCACGCCAGTGCAAACTTACCTTACTTAACCTTTCCATTTTTCCTCTTCACCAGAATTCAAATCCTCTTCCTGATGTGGGTGATTATTTTGATTAGTACACATATTGCCCCCCAAGTTCTTTGGCCATTTTAGCAATTGGAACAGAATCAAAACAAAAGAAGGCATTCACCACAAAATTGCTGCGCAGCTTATTACTACCTACAGTTCTAATTTATATTCCACACTTGGCTAACACAACCAAAACAGTTCAGCTAGTCCTTCTAGTACACTGGAAGCACCTCGGACTAATGCCAAAATGCCCCAGTTTTCACAAAAATAAATTCAGCACTTCACAAACTGCAAGTGCGGCAATTTTACAGCACTGAGAAAAACAAGTATTCTGAAGGTGCTAGAGAAGAACAGGTCACAGCCATGCACTGTTTTCAAGCTCCTACCATGAACATTTTATTTGTATATGAAGACAGCTAACTGCAAAGGGAAGAACTGCTACATAGAGAGAAAAAAAAAAAATCTTAAGGGCTTCAGCATGACATCACAGCTTCAGTATAATTTGTAGCTGGATGAACATCTGCCCCTGAAACTGCTAGTTCAAGCAGACCTGCCTTGATTCTTTTGCCCTGCCAACCTTGCTGTGCTGAACAACCACATGTAGAATGGCGCAGGAAACCACACAAGGGAAAATACCTGGGATCTATTAATGACTACCACAAATACCAGGCCAAATACCACAATTCAGTTCTCATTGCACAGCTAATCAAAGTCTGAGCCTGCAGAGACAGTGAGGGGGACCATTCTGGACTTCCTATCCCTATGCTACAGATAAATGAAATGATCAAAGAGCACTCGTTTACAGCCTGGCTGCAACTATTTTTTCAATGGCTGACCACAGCCCTAACCTACTTGCTTGAACATGAGGACAAGAGCTGTGCCTACTGCACATCTAAGTGATTCAGTTACTTCACAGGGATCCCCAGAAGCATTCTTCCCTTACATCCCCCCCATGCTCCCACTACCTGATAACAGCCTATCTACCCCTCAGAAAGCAGTACATTACAAAAACCCCACTTACATGCACCAGCAGTATTAATTTTGCCACTGCATGCAGCCTAACAAAAAAACTAAGATGTATTCTATTCTTGGCAAGCTCTGCTCCCACGAGGCCTCAAGAATGGGCTTCAGGCCAGAAGAATTGCTGTCAGGAGCCTCACTCCACATGCCACCATTTTTCTTAAATGCTCTGTGCAGACCAAGTTTAGTGCTTCTGTGAAAACATTCAGGCTTTCTACAGAGTGAGTGATCTTCTCACAAGCACCAGATTTACTTCTTACACACAGAACAAATTTGTCAAGCAGCCAGTAACAATGCTTCAGATGATGTTTGGTGCACTAACACTAACAGGAGCAACCTACACCAAGCAGTGGTAGCACTACGTTGTCCAGTGTGATATTCAATTAATGCACGTGGTTTTATCAAACAGAAAATCAGGGAGTAATCAACTGCTGCATGGATTGGGTCCCAAAAAACAGAGAAGCTTTGTTTTTTGGTCCACAACCCATCATTCTCACTACTCTACCCCTAAGCCTTAATCTTTTAGGAAAAACATCCAAAATAAATGTGTGCTTTCCACTGGATATAACCCAGTTTTCAGAATTTTAGGATAACTACAATGGCTATGTCAATGTCTCTTGCACTTATATTTATTTTAAAAATGAAAATCTTTTATTGAGAAATTTAAAGTTGTTTTTCTGGATTCTATTAGTCCTCATGATTTCAGGTGGAAACACACAAATTCGAAACACCCCAAGCCACTCAGTAAGCAATTGGAATTAAACAGTTTAAGCCATCTATGAATTAACACCACCCTCTTAAGAATATTGCTTGTATTACAGTTTCCAGGATTTCTTTGCTGATACTTGATAGTTCTGATGCCTCTATAGCAATGGTAGCAAACAAGCTCTACTATTCTGCATGGAATTTAAGAACTTTTCCTCCAGGTTTCTTAGGACTAACAGAAATTGAAAAACAATACCTGAACAAAGACCTTTAGATAGAAACTAAGGCAAGGCAATTATGGATATATTTTTTTTCTTTTTAAACCAAGTTAGAGGAAACACTAAAAAGCAGAGACTTGATGACTCTACTTGAGATGTAAAAATCAAGATTGAATCTGCTGCTGTATTCCTCATTAACAAGAATGAAACAGAAAGTAAATCCCTGAAGTTATCTAAAACACACCTACTTGTGAACATCAATAACTTCTTCAGTGTAAGGAGGCAGGTAGATGATTGCTACAAAAAGAATGTGTGAGAGAAGACCTACAAAAGCCCATTATTTGTGTATATACAGTACAACACTCTAAAGAAGCAAGTTTGTGGAATGTAATGAAGAAGTGCTATTGTTCAGAAATTATGGCTATGGATTTGCATGTGGACAAGATGACCACGATTACTCATTCATGTTGGAAAAGGAAAAATATAAGCCTTATAACAGACAGCCCCTGCAAAGGAAATGGGACAGAAGAGCACAAAAGCACTGTTCAACCTTAGTCCTGTCACAATATCACACTACACTGCTTACTCTTCCTCAAAATTAAACACGCTCTCAAAAAGTTGCTTCATTTCTTATTTATTTTCACGTTAGTCAGTACATGAAACTTGAAACTGCAGCCACACACTTTAAAATTATTAACAGCAATGAACTGAACATCCACCCACTGTCCTTCTTCTGGGCTTCTATTCATGGGAAAAATAAAATCCTTCTACTAGATAATGTTTCTCTGCTAAGGAGGAAACAACATTACTGTTTAAACAAAGTTCCTTCCTTCCCTTCCAAACACAAAATCCTTTGTCAAGAAGCCCAGTTGCTGTACGTGTACTGGACAAGTTTCTCCCTGGTGCTGTTGTACACCACCTCCTCTTCCTTTCCTCCCCCCTCTAAGCATAGGTTTTGAACTAACACCCGCAGACTTTGTTAATTTACATTCTTCCACACCTCCTTGTCTTTTTAATTTATTACTGAAACAAGTTTTGACAACAGTGCAACCACAGAGTATTAAATTTTTATGTTCTTTTCCATTGTTAAAGTTGCAGGAACTACTGAGTTTCAGCAAGTTCCATTTTAACTCATTTTTTTCTCTCTCAAATGCTTCCCTGCCTGAATTTCAACCTTAGAGGTCTTTTACAGCATCACAATCCTGACATTAGCAGATTACATATGCACTCAAAATTCAGTTCTAACTTGATTTTGTTCATGATCCTAAATTATTGTCTGGTCTCACTAACAACTCAATATACCTTATCTATAAGGAAGCACTTCTTTTTCCAATAATTCCTATTGGAATAATTCCAATAATAACTATCATTATTACAGTAGATAACAGTCTAGATAAAACCATTCTGCACCTTTTACCTCATATTCAGAAAATAGTTTATAAATGTCTTGCAATTTGCATGACTGCCTCCTTCTCAACATTCACAGCATGAGTTCCTTTTCTATTCTTTACTAAATGTATTCATTCAGTTGATCACCAACACTTAGGCCTTGCCAGTATCAGAGACTGAACAGGCTCATAGAACTCCCCATCCCTCATCTCACAGAAATATAGAGACTTCCTTCCTTAATGTTATACATCCATTTATACCATCATAGTTCCCACGTGCTGAACAACAAACTAATTCTGAAGTTTATACTTTCAGAAAAAAATGTCTGCATTGAATTGATGTGATCCACCTTGACACACACCAGTGTCTTTATTTCACATAATTCCCTCCTATGTAACAGCTGTCACTGGAAAAGATAACTCAATATTTTTCCTCACTTAAAACAATTTCATGAAGAATCCAGAGTCCAGTTTCTTGTTCATGATTAGTTTTCACAACCATAAAATGTTAAAATAGCAAGGTAAGCGAGAAGAAGTAAGGATAAAACTCACTGTCTAGCAACAGGGATTCCCTTCTGCCTTAATACTACCAAAGTACCTGTATTATGAATACAACTATTTTGCTATGAGAATAACATTTAAGCCTGTAAACTTCATCTCTGCCACAAAACCACTTCAGCCAAGGTATTAATTGGACCAGACTGATAGAAAGCCAATTTCTTTTTATTAATGAGGAGTTTAAGCATTATGGAGAAAAGGCATTCTATAAAGTTTTCCCCAAAATGTTGAAACTGAGTAAGGGTCCAATTTGCAGAACTAATCTGGCTTTTCACTCAATTTCACAGCTGAGTTGACAAAGGCTGAAATAAACACAACATTCAGCTTAAGACATTACACAAAACACGCATAGCATGGAGTTTAGTCTAAGATACAGAAAAACTAGTTTTGAGACATACTTTTGGGAAGCTAAATGAAATCTAGAGACATGGAGCTGCAGAGTTCTTACCTATCTGGAGAGGGTCTTTGACTGCCCTCACTCGGAACAGCTGCTCCCCTCTCTGGAACTCGTCTGCACTGCCATTAGCCAAACATGAGTACAGTCTGGAAGTGAAAAACATAACAAAGCAAGATTAGTCGTTTCTGAGAAACTTCACATTATTATCTGAAATACAAAATCATTTACAACCTAAAATCACTTACATTCCAAAGTCAGCATGTCACAGTAAGACCTCCTTATACTTCTGGACGAGTTGCCCAAATGGTCATTTGAGATTTTTTACATCTGTGCTCATCAGACTAACGAGCATGTACGACCAAGAGCTGAAGTGCTCTGTTCTATCACAGGTGATCTTTATAACTGTATCAGTACTTCTGGCACTAACTCCCCAACCCGAAACTAAAATGTTAGATGAAAGCATTTAAGAATTGTCAGGATGATTCTTTCTAAAATACCTCTAAAATACAAATGCGTCTGCTATCCTACAAAATTCCAGATGCATGGTTGCATTGGTAGGCAACCTACAGAAAAAAATGCTTCAGACAAAACACATTCGTAAAAGATTTAACAGCACTGAGTTTCTGATTATGCACTCAATCAATTTCCCCATTGGGAAACATAAGAAATACAATTATTTCCCTGGCTGTATCTACTCTGATTACTGATGTACTCAGCAAATTCTGATTCTCCTACTTACACCAATTAAAAACTTGCAAAGGATTCTGAGAGAGCCATCCCCAATAATTTCTGAGCTCAGCTAAGTTCTGATTGAAGCAACAGATTCAAACTGGACAGAATACCACATAAGATTTATGTAAAGATAAAAGTCCACAAATAGGTTGCATAGTCAAGCAAACTAAGGCAAGCATTTATCCTGTTTCAGTTACACACAGAGCCTACACATCTATATGTTCTTCCTGGGATGCAAGCAGGGTAGCTGAACCCACAATAAGAATCCATAACGTTGCACATCTCCTACAGTAACCCACTCGTATATTACGAAGTCCACATACCAACAGCAGGAGCAGCCAATATACAGGACATTACATGGACAGTGACTGTTCTCTAGTGAACAGAGCTTTCCCTTAAGCATCGGTGAGCAGAAATAGTAAGCATTACCTAATATCTTCCTCATTTTCAGGGAAACTCCAGAAGGCAATCCGAAGCTGTAGTTGCTCAGGAACTGGAGGATAAACTTTTTCCACGACCTCAAATGGAATGTGAAATGCAACCTGTTTTGCAGACAGTTCCACCAATGGGATCACCAGCCCATCTGGCAAGACAAGAAACAAAATGCAATTAGCCACTGAGGGAACTAAAACTGAGGAGAGGCAAAAGGCACTAGAGCAGAGAGCACTTCCCCGTCTAACTCACCGAATTCAAAGACCTATTTTGATAGTACAGTGAAAGGCAGCACAGAAATTTCCTAAAAAACTGACTACTTGCCAACCTTACATTTGTTTTCAGCCCCAGAGATTCATTAGGCAGCATCTCCTTCTCACAGATCAGCAGTCTTTTATTATCACAGGATTATTTCTCCATCATCAGTGATTTTTATTCTACGTTATAGATGGAGCCTATCTTTTACTGCGCTATACTCCCATACACAAATGTGAGAGCACAGATTGTAAAATATACAGTGATGGTTAAGTGAGTTATCCCTTTCTTTACTGCAAGCAGATACGCAAGATTTTAGGGGAAAGTCATCTTATTTCCCCTTCTGACAGCCAGTACAGCTAACTAAAGAAAATCACTATTGTTAATTAGTGCAGCAGTCATCTTAAATGTCACTGCTGTTACTACAGTAGTAGATACCATAGAAAGTGCAAACCGAGGTACACCAGTACTCGAAATTGCTCTGAGAAATGAAAGAAGTATTTCTTGGAGTTTTTTACTGCAGTTTTTGCAGAGGCACTTCATCCAAATCTTTCATTACACAACATTAAAAAAAAAAAAAAAAAAAAAAAAAGAGATAATACCTAAGCAATCTCTACCCTTAAAGGTATCATATCTGAAAAGGTACAATATCTGAAAAAGACTTTAGTATGAGTTTTAGTATGAAACACCTGTGCATCTTTTGAAGAGACTGCAAGTGGATGGTATTTCTTTTCACAACTATGTGGTGTGGGGTATGAAGGTCAGACAGAAATAGCAAAGCCACACTGGGTTGACAGAAAAGCAGCAAAGGCAAAAGCAATCCATTATTCCATTAGTATGTCTTATTATTACAGATATTTTTCTTCACAGATACAATGGACTAGGACTCCTACAGTCAGTTACCAGGACTCAACAGTACTAGCAGAGCAGATCACTGCAATTACCCTCCACCTACTTCATTACACAGCACAGCTTTCTCCTTCAAGCCTAAGCAAACTAGCTCAAGAAAAACCCTATGACAAGCATTGCTGAAATTACTTGTCCTGAAAATAAAAAAAATCAATCTTCCAAGTGGGAAAGAGTCAGTACTACTAAACATAAGAAACATACATGCTTTCTGATGAATCAAACAACTGTAAAGCCCTGATCTGACAATTTTCAGGATGATCTGACTTCTGCCAGTAATAGGGCAGTAGTATTCAATGAGAACCCCAGGGAGCTTTTCAGACCCCAGCCAGGAGCAAGTTGGGAAAACAGCCCTACATGACACGAGCAGGACCCTACTGCTGGCCACCACTTCTCCCCACAGACCCCTGCCCAACTCCTATGATTACACAACATATTAGTGTGGATCCTTTGAAGGAAATAAGTTCCCAGGAGCCCCCTGACAAAAGGGACCCTTGGATTAACTCTTCCACATAATCTACCAAGACTTCATACAATGAGAAGAAACTGCAGTTTTATTAGAAAACGAGTCACGTGAGCACTGTCGTGTCAGCTCAGCCACATGGCCATAACATGGCTGCAAAAACCACTGTGGGATGACAGTGAGCCTGGGACAAACAAATCCACCAAAAGCATATCAAAGTCAGTCCTACTTGAGAAGCCTTTTGGATTCGTTCTGTTAGGAAGGCTCCAGTGCACTCATTCTGAGATTTTACCAGATTTGCAGTGAACTAAGGTAACTGACTGACTTCGTATTGAACTCAGTTTCATCAGCTGTACTGCGTTAATAGCAGCCTGCAGGAGCCAGCAGCCAATTAACTGGAACAGCTGTCTTCAGCACGCACTCAGCACATAGTTTTGATATTCTCAGAAAAAAGTGAAAGCAGTAACATCTGAAGTGGAAAAAATAATCTAAAAAGCAATAATCTTATCTATAAAACAATGGATTTCTCTAAAATGTTTAGTTTTCTAGATGGAAAAAGAACCGTGGAAAAGAAATGGTAGAAGATAACTGAGAAGTAGAATTATTTGGATGATACTTAAAGGACGAGTGAATTCGCAGTAGCCAAGCTGCTACATAATGTAAGCACTAAAATTAAGAAGTTAAACTGCCTTAAGTTTCAAGGGTGGTGTGCCATGTACAGCCACAGTGGTAGAGACACTTAACCTGCATGGGATTCAGAACACAGGGACTTCCCCATTAGGTCTTCTGCACATTCAGTTGGATACCCTGAGATAAGTGCTTAAATTAGACAATATTTTTCTTTGAATACTAAACAAAGAGATCCTCTCCAAAAGTTTATCTCTAAATACACAAATCCACTACCGGGGGATTTATACCTGCTTACATCAAAAGGTATTATCAGTGAAACACATGAAAGGTACCCCTAAATACTACAAAACACACTTTGAGAAGAAAACAAAAAAGGAAAAGTGCTAATAAAGAAAAGGAAAAGGCATTGTATATCCCACTCAATGCAAAGATAAAGACAGCAAGGAAGACTGTAAAAAAAAAAATTTTTTTTTAAATATAGCAATAAAATCAGAGATGTAATAGAATATCAATGAATCTGCAAGATGCATTATATGAGGGAGAAAAATTTAAACTGTGCTTCCTCTTGAGCAGCAGACAAGACAATCCAAAGAGAGCAAAGGAAACTCCTCATGTCTTCCAAGAATAAAATTACAGGCAAAGCATAAGCAACCTCAACATTTCTGACCTACATGAAACCCAAATCCCACGTCTAGAAGGGAATCTGAGAGATAATCTGATCTGTACACCCTACTAGCAGGCAGGACCAAGAACTTCTCAACCATTTGGAATAAATTGTGTCCCATCTATCTCCTGCTATGTGGAACACACTAACTTTTACATGAGGACCATCCTACCCTTTTTGTTACTGTTTCATGTGAATTGATTTTATTGTAGTTTTACAATAGCTATAACTTTAGCACAGACACAGTTATTCCTGCAGGAACAACATCAACAACAAAAAACCCAATCCAACTCCAAATAGCTAAGGCAAGTTATGCACACAGGAACATGCCTTCACCAAAGGAAGCAAATTACATGCCATCAGGGCTTATTGACATGGGTGTGCTACATTTCTTAATCTTTCCTAGCACAGGGTAGGCTGTAGCAAGTTGCAGCCAACAATTGTTCATAAAAACAGATGATGTTCCAATAAATTCTTCAGTGCAATAACAGAGTTTTCATGATAGACAAAAAGAGAGAGAAGACTCTACTTGAATAAACAGCAAAATAGGGGCCAGGAGTTATTAAATGGAACTGAAACAAATCCAGCTGGACCAAACACTGAATAAATTTGTTATCTAATGACATCATTCCTATTGGGTTAGTTTCAGTTGACACATGTCCCTAAGAATAAACTATATGTTCAATAGATATGAACAAATACAAATTGAAGGGAACAAATCTCACAGTATGAGATAAGACAGTGCAAAGATAAGACTCACTGTGTTTTATACATACCCGTATATCTTAAGGAAAATAGGGTGATGCTTTTTAGCAGAACAAATAAACCATACAGTAAGACATCTTAGACTGCACTATCTTTTGAGAGATGTGTCTCCAGCTTTGATTTTATAGTTATCTCTAGTCCACATCTCACATTTCCCCTCACCTCTACCACTGGCCTCAGTCCAAAACGCATCAGGGTGGAACAAAAGTAATACAGCAGATAGACCAAGGAGATGGAGAAAATGAAGCGAAACACTTCTGCTATTAGAAGAGAAAATGAGATCAGTAAAACTAACAAGAAATACGTAGCACGTCGTCTTGATCAGTGAAGATGTATGCAGGGGTGTTATAAAACCTGTTTTACAAATCTCATTTAAAAAATGGTACATACTACATTTCTTTTGGCAGGGTTTCCCATGTAGAAAGATAAATCTGTCAGTGTGGAATGTCATTTTAGCATTTAACTAAAATAAATCAAACAGAAATGTATCAGTAAGGGCCCCAAACTTAAGGCAGTGACATATTTTCTCCCTAATGCCCCTTGAAACCAAAAAGCACTGAGTTCTCAAATATGGGAGAGCCATGCATTGAGCTATAACATACTTAAATCAAACCTCTTAAAAATGGTGATCTTCTTGTTGTCTTCTGCACATTTCTGCTGTTGGTTCTGTTTTAATCTCCCTTTATTTAACTTTCCAAAAATTTAATCTCAATGTTGATGCCTTGAAGAAGTATGTGTCGGTGCAATGTGTTCCTTTCAGTCTCCAACTATGCAACAAACATCAGAAAACTTTACCTTTGTCTTGAATTCTGTTATACTTAAGGAGAGAATTTTGACAGTCACCCAAGGTGAATATTGCAAAAATCAATCATGACATTTTTAATTAAAAATTTAGTCTCCATTTTGAATATAAATTATACTCCAAGATGTTTAGGCCATTACTTACATCTCTTTCCCTATTCTTCTTCCATTTTGTTGCATAATCAATGTGATGTTAAAAGCAGGATACATGTTTTTAAAAATAAAAGAAATTCACCTTTGAGGACAATACACACTGCAAATGTCTGAAAAAATATCTGAAAAAAGGATATTTTCACTTCCTTCAAAAGCATTTCTCACACAAACCTCTTTCCACAAGGCCCATAAGAAGAGGCATTCAGTAAGGAGCAGAGCCAACTCAGTGGTCACCAACACACCACCACCTGCTTTTCAGTCACGCTAACATTTGACACAGGCAGATCACAATTCTGTCACAGAATCATAGAATTGCTTACGTTGGAAGGGACTTTAAAGATCATCTACACCAACCTCCTGCCACAGGCAAGTTTGCCACCTACCAGATCAGGCTGCCTAGGGCCCCATCTAACCTGCACTTTAGGAGTGCCTCCAGAGACGGGGCATCTGATTAATGTTTATAAATATGTAAAGGGAGGTGGGAGGCAAATGGATGAGGCCAGATTCTTCTCAG